TTGTAGGCCTTCATAGAACTGGTCAACTTCAGCCTCTTCAGCACCAGTGGTTGGGGCATAGACTTGGACTATTGTGATGTTGAATGGTTTGCCTTGGATTAGAACTGAGATCATTCTGTCATTTTGGAGATTGTATCCCAGTACTGCTTTTCCTACTCTTTTATTGACTATGAAGGCTACTCCATTTCTTCTGAGGGATTCTTGCCCACAGTAGGATACCTGATGGTCATGTGAATGAAATTCACCCATTCCTGTCCATTTTAGTTCACTGCTTCCTAAGATGTCAATGTTCAGTCTTGTCATCTCTTGTTTGACCACATCCAGCTCGCCTTGATTCATGGATCTTACATTCCAGGTTCCTATGGAGTATTGATCTTTGCAGCATCGGACTCTCCTTTCACCACCAGATACATCTGCAGCTGAGTGTCCTTGTGGCTTTGACCTAGTTGCTTCATCCTTTCTGGCGTTACTAGTACTAGCCCTCTGCTCTTCCTCAGCAGCATATTGGACACCTTCCGACCTGAAGGGCTCATCTTCTGGCATTGTATCTCTTTGCCTTTTCGGGCTGTCCATGGGGTTTTCATGGCAAAGATACTGGAGTGGGTTACCATTTCCTTCTCCTGTGGATCACCTTTTGCCAGAGCTCTCTGCTATGACCTGTCTGTCTTGGGTGCCCCTGCACGGCATAGCTCATAGCTTCATTGAGCTACACAAGCCCCTTCGCTATGACAAGGCAGTGATCCATGAGTACAGCCAGGAAAAACATCTAAAAAGGGACCAGGGAACATTAAAAAGCAAGATGATGTAATGCTATTGACAGAGACAAAATTGCAACCATCAATGTAGCCCATGAACATGGCATGGACCAGAGTTTTAGCTGAGGATAAACAAAGTAAGTAAAAACAATTCATTGAAGAATAACAGTGGATCTTACTCTGTATCCTATGCCGTTGTGATTTCTGGAATATGGATAAAAGGCACCCAGTTGCATCCAGCGGGCACACATTTCATAGGTTGTATCTCCAATGAAGCCACAGATATCTGCCCCAGTCTGAACAAATTAAAAATTAAAAATAACTAAACAGCCAATATTATTGTAAATATAAAACAGCAGCTGAAAATGTTGGGTGATGTTTAAGACTTACATAGGATATTCCAAAAAGGCTAAACTCCATCATACCTGTAAGAAAAGAACATCTTAGTCAATCTCTTTTCCCTTTGCCATAACAACCTCTTGTAAAGCATTTTGTTCATTTCCATCATGTGATAGACCCATCTCTTCTCTTCCAAAATATGAGACAGTCCTTTACAATTCAGATATTTATTGGCACTTCACAGCTAACTAGACGATTCAGCTCTAAGAACCCTTAGCAAGCCTCTGCTCATATAAACAGTATTGACCTCAAACTGTCCCAATCCTGTCTCTAATGTCTACTGTCATGGACATCATGGGCATGAAACTATGACTCTGGGAAACTATGGGCAATAACTGACAGAGCTTCAACAACTACTGCCCCTCCCCTTTGATCCTTCTGCCCTCCCATCACCTCTTCCTTGGTCTCCTCTTCAGCATCCAATAATGCAGGGCCTTGGAAAGTCAGGGAAGTGGGAATGCCTGGCCAGTATAATACACGGGCATACAGATTATGTAATATGCTGGGAGGAAGTTATCTCTTTATGGCAGGGGTGTAGCCCTCAGGCCTGGGGCTGAAGGGATAGAGCCTACCAGGGGCCCCAACCCATCCCCTGGGGGTTTCCCATATGACTGTGCTCCCCAGCTCTGTCATCTCTGCCTCCAATTGTTTGGTGTTTCCCAACTTGCCTGAAGCTGCCCTCTCCCATTCTAACTTTAGACAGGTCTTTATTTGCTAGCAGCATGAGCTTAAAGCTATTCTGTGCTGATATTTTTGTCCTTGCCCCTTTTCTCTTCCAGTCTTTCCCACTACATCTGTGTGCCCCTGCCTCTCCGTTAGCTTCTCAAAATTGGAATTCATTCCTCAGGCTGAAAGTGGTTCAACATTCCTGCTCTTTGGGCTGCTTCTTACATTTTCTGTACATTCAGTTCCACCAGGGAAACAATAATGCTTCAATGGCCCATTAGGTTTTTGAGATATTTCATAAATGTAGATCAGTGCAAAGATATCTCAGATAACATCCATGAGAAGCGAGCATGAATGTGTCTGCTAATTGATAAAGCAAAAATGTATTCAGCTATGCAGAATTCACATATCTGATAGAAAATTAAATATAACTCCTTTGACATGGAAAGCTGCCCTTATAATTGTCATTGCAAGTAACAACTGTGAATATTGTAAAGCTGAAAGCGAGATCAGAAACATTTTGCAGTTGGAAAGAAAGAATGCATCAGCCTTGCGTCTAGTAGTCAGTGGGAGGAAAATGAAGAATAGAAAAGCAAAAGGTTACACTGAAACACTGTAGTTGAGAGAAGTTCTATTTCTTAAGTTTTAAGCAACAACAGAAAAAGCTAATTCATAAGTAACTGGCTCCTTTGTAGGATGGTTTAGCCTTGATTAATGTCTTATATGGCTGTTTTCTTTAATACTCAGGATTTGCTTCCTTGTGTCATTAATTATAGTATGCTAATATATCTAGGAACATTGTTTCTATGCTCACTGGTAAAATTAGTTTTTCTTTTATGCATTCCATTGCAAAATAAGCAAGAACAATATTATAATATCAATATCAAGGAAAGCCAGTTGCTTAGAAAAGTAGGAACTGCAATACTATATGTCATGAATGTACAATTTAACTGTCACTTACCAATTATAGATTTGTAAAGCTGGTCCCATCTTGAGAAATTATCACCCAGCCAATGTCCTGCCCATTTACCACTTGATGGATAAGTTGAACGAGAAATGACAATACCACGTTCTCCAGTGACACTGTGTAGAGCACTAACAATGGAAATAAGACCAGATGTAAACTGAGCCAAGAATTGAAAACAATTTCAAATATTTAGAAGTATGAGATAGACATGTATAAGAACTTCATTTCATTTCACAATCCCAAACATGAACATCTGCAGGAGCATTACATTCCAAAAGAAGCTCATACATTTTAAATTTCTGAACATTTTTTTTCCAAAAAAAGGACACTTTCAGATCTGCATATTCCAAAATGGCACATTTCCATGCTTTAGTCAAGGGTGAGATGGTTCTTTCATCCTTCATATAAAATATATCATCAGTGCAAATAACATGTAACATCTACTCAAAGCCTTTGCTTTTGGACTAGCATGGTGAAGGCTGCTACAGGAAGGGTAGGTTGGGAGATTTTCTCTGCTATTGAAAGGAGTAATATTGCCTGCATGTATGCAGTGACAGTCAAGGATATAGATTTTTTAAAAATGTGCAAAAGGGCTCAGTCTACATCTCCAAGTTCTGGTGCTCAATTTTTCAGTGTAAATCCCCCATTAAAAGCCTTTCTTGCAAGGCTGGATGGAAGATTAAGTTCATGCTGTGTCGTGCTCATTGCCATGGAAGTGCTGAGGAAAACTGTGGTTCAAGGTGTGTTCACTGGGCACCAAAGTGATGGCAATTTGGCAGTGCTCATTAGTACGCCAGGTCACTCCTTAAGGAAGTCTATTTAGAAATGTATTACTTTTTGAGAGAGGAAAACAAGTAATGCCATGTGAATACATATATATTTACTGGTGAATCTTCATGTAACGTATCTAATAGTCATAGAAAGAGTAGACTTATTGCAATTAATGTGTTTTAAGTTAGCCTAATATTAGATATGACCTACTGTAACAACAGAGGACTAAAAGCAAACTTCAGACACAATCCTATGAAATTTGGACAGAAAAGATCCTACAACTTCTAAAATTCCTAAGCCTTACTTCACCCAAACCTACTGAATTAAAAACATACTGTCCAATCATGCAGTTTTTCCAAATTATGCATTTAAATGCATATCTCATTTAAATGTGCCTTTTCAGGTATATTTAAGGTGTATTTGAGTGTAGTTTTGCTATATATATATATGTATGTATGTATCTCAAAGTATACATTTCAATAACTGCTGAGGACAGCATTTGCAGCATTTGGAGAAGTGAAAAATTCAATGGAAAGCTGGATTTCAATCTGGTTATTAGTCCAACAGCTGTCGCTTAGATGATTTTGTTTAGGAATATGCAAATATCAAAATATTCCTGGATTTCTACTTTAATCAGCAGTACAAATATGAATGCTAGGATCAGCAGCTCAGTTTCACAGGGGAAGACACTGCATTCTAAATGCAGGGATTTTTGATGCCGTGGCATGCTCAAACATATGATTTTCATCTGCATTCAGAACTCGTTCAGAATAAGAAGGACTGACCCTTGTGCTTTCTCTGAATATTTCAATCATTTCTGAGTCTTATAGCAAATGTTTTGAAATTCACTGTAGGGGATTAAATTGACTTTCATTGTCCCCATGCATAGCTTTGCATCATTTCTACAAAATTAGTGTACAGCTGTACAATACATAATAAATGTGTTGATCTTTAAGGTATTACAAGGCGCTTTACTGTTTTTGTTTCAACGTATCAACATAGTTGCCCCAATGGAAATTTTATGTAAGCCCTCCCTGGACCAGGACATATGTCTTGTAAAAGCTCTGCCTTAAACCCAGCCCCAAGACTAAGTAAAGTTATGAGGACTAGTGGGGAAGGCCTACAAAGAACTTTAGCTTAGTCCGGTGAGCACTTCAAAGCTTAGTAAAACAAGTTTAGGAACTGCTTTCTTCCTAGATCCAAATTCTAGGGCATTTCCTAACTTATTTCAGAAAGCCAAAAGTGAAAAAGGAAACTAAATAAGGTTGCCTTGGTTCAGCTCCACAGTACATCATGTAAGTGGAAAAATTAATAATTAATAAATTAGAATGCTTCAGAATGTATTTACCATAATTTAGCAACTTAGCAATTTGTTCTCTATTGAGGAAAGTGTATATCACTCGTTCTTTGTTTTATTCTCCATTTTCATCATATGAGATATTATTATACATGGTGCTGAATTATTGCGCACTGGCAATGTTCAGATCATATTTTATCTGACTGACAATAGACGAATCTGAAATTCCTTTCTTGGTCGTCAGCAGTTTTGTGACTCCATTGATTGACAGCAAAAGGATGGAGTGCTGCCAGATACAACTTCCACTCAGGTAAAACATCACAGCCTTTCCCCTCTATCTTCATGGTAATATCAAGCTTACTGAGGGCTTTCAGGTCATTACTGCCAGTAGGGGAAAATATTCTGCTCTTTGCTTGCTCATTGAATTGGAAAAGAAACAGCTTAGATTTATTATCATTAAATCACACATTTTCTAAAGTAAGTCATAACTCAATAAGGAATTAGTATGTAATAAAGTTGCCTTGGAATCAAAGAAATACTGTGTTAATGGGGAAAATCTTGTCCATTTTCTTTAGATAATACTCATCCTCTTGCCCCTATTTAACATTTGCCTTTTTGAAGAAAATTCTTAAGGTTATTAATTTCGGAATGAGTATACAGAACACTTAATTTAAAACAATCATTCTGCATATCCTACATGGAATTCTAGCCAAATGGTACAAGCTTTTTAATTAAAGCAGTCCATCACATCCTAGGCTTGGAGCTAAGGGTTATTTTTGCCTTTAATTCCTTATGCTGCAGTCTTAATGACCAATCAGAACATTGAAAACTGCTTCATGTCATCAGTGAATGGCAGGCCACTCTTTATTACAGTTGGTGGAACTGTGTCTGTATCATGCAGGACCATCTCAAGATAGCCTTTGCAGACATCTCATAAGAGGAATCCCTCTTGTAAACTCAACACAAGGTGTCCGAATGCACTGGAAGATAGCATTTACTGGTATGTTATTAAAGATCCACATTAAACTATATTAAAATCACCAACCTGGCCATTTGGTTTCACAAAGCAGGTCAGCAATTAAATTTGCACAGCATAAAATTTTACAGATATGGTAATTAGAATATGTGTGTGCATAATTGCTCCCAGCTAGGTGAGAAATTAGGTCTCTTAATGTTGTATCCCAATTTACTTGCAGACTTAGAAATGAGACATTGAAACTTGATGCTTAAAAGGCTAATAAAAGTAAAATGTTACATGGCTATGTGTTACCCAGCTTCTACAGGTACACTATGAATTTCTAGTTATCCCTGCTTATGGGGTTTGCTATCATGAATGCAAAAATGAGGATGTCATTCCCACATCTCAACATTGTCATATCCCTGGTTGGAAGTGCCACTTTACTGGAAGAAGACCTGGATTCAGATCTCTGGCCCTATAAGAACTGCAGTTAGCAAAGGGTGCTTTTCAATGGCACCTTCTCAGACTGAAAAGACACAAGGAGAGGGGTACCACAGGGCTCAGCTGTGGAACTAATGCCTTTCACATTTTTTATTAATAAGTTGGATGAAGAGGTGCAGGCAGTACTTATCAAATTTGCAGATGACCCAAAATTGGAGGAATAGCTAATACCATAGAAGACAGAAACAAAATTCAAACCAGTCTTAATAGGCTGGAGTGCTGGGCTGCTAGCAATGGAATAAAATTCAATAGGGACAAATTACAGTTTCTATACTTAGAGAAGGGAACCAAATGCACAGTTACAAAATGGGGGATACTTGGCATAATGATACTACAAGAAAGAAGGATCTTGGGATTGTTGAAGATAACAAGTTGAATATGAGCCAACAATGCAATGTATCTAGAAAAGAATGCTGTATTTGACTACATTAATGGAAGCATACCTCTTAATCACATAAGGTACTGGTTTCCTTCTATTTGGCACTAATTAGGCCCCATCTTGAGTATTATGCCCTGTTCTGGGCACCACACATAAAGAAAGATGCAAATAAGCTGGAAAAAGTTCAGAGGAGGGCAACAACTGGGCATGCTTAACTGTGGGAAGAGAGGTCTGAAGGGACAAATGATTGCACTTTTCAAATCCTTGAAAGGCTGTCATGCAGAGGAAGGCCAGGATCTTTCTCAATCATCCCAGAGTGTAGAACATGGAATAAGGGGCTCAAGTTACAAGCTCCAGCTGGTCACTGGGAAAAAACTTCCTGACTGCTATTGCAGAATGGCAATGGAACTAAATACCTAAGGAAGTCACAGCTGTCCCACAATGAAGGCATTTAAGAGGCAGTTGGGCAGCAAACCTTTAGGCATTCTTTAAATTGGAGTTATGTTTTGAGCAGGTGGTTGGACTTGATGGCTCCTTCCAGCTCTACCATTCTATGGTTGTATGATCTAGGAGCATAGAGTCACTAAAGTATCAATTTCTGTCAGCCTTCTTAAGACCTCAGTTGAATGTGTTCCTTTATTGGGATTACACAAGCACATAAGAAAAACTATGCTGAATCAGACCAAAAGTCCATCTAGTCCAGTACTCTATATTCATGTCGGCAAATCAGCTGCCCACAGGATGCCTCAAGTAGGATGGGTGCAAGACTTCTGAGGGCCCCAGCAACAGGTGTATGCAAGCTTTGGCAAGGCTATAGTAGCCACTGTTAATCTCATCCTCTGTGAATCTGCACAACCCCTTTTTAAAGCCATCCAATGTTTTGACCATCACCACTTCCCATGGAAATAAATTTGATAGCTTAACTGTATGCTGTGGGAAGAAATATTTCCAACGAGTTCTTATGGAAGAATAGCATTGTGTTAGCTATGAAACAGCACAGTGTTTGAGTGCCATGTTGCAGTCTGGTTTCCCTTGACTTCTTGCTGAGTCTGGACAATAATTCAGAGTGGGAGGCTAGTGGGATGACATGAAGGCTGCAGTGGATATTGAAGGCCTGGATGCAACCCTAGAGTCTGCAAAATTAATCAAAGCTCTGGAATATTTCTGATTTGGATCAAGGGATTCTGATTGTTTCCAAAAGTGACATGTCCAAGAGATTCAGAAAATTTGCTGAACAAACATCTGACCACAGAGCTCTGTGGAACAATTCTGACATCCTATTGACTATACCGCACTGAAGTCATTGAAGCCACTACAAAGAAAAATATGACTTACTCATATGTTGGCTTAGTTTGTGACCAGCCATACAGATTGTGAACATCATAATGTCGAACTGCAGTTCCATCGGGCAGAAACTGTTGACTTTGCATGCACAAGGTTTTGTCACTCAGCCCAACTGCCCTTCCTAGTACGCCTAGCAAAGATAAATTTGAAAATTAGGGAGGTTAAAACAAATCTTTCCCATCTTTATATTTGATGATAAAGATCAACATTTTAAAGTCAATTTGGCGGATCAAAATTTGCCTTTTTAGGTGGTGGAACATAAATAACAATTGGCAGAAGTAGAAGATTTGAATGAAATTGACCAGAATTAACTTGGGATCATTGAAGCTTAAGTGTGCTTGGGCACATCCTTAAATCTGTCAGCAAAAAGCTGCATGGCGGGTGAGACAGATGTCACCTTTAAGATGACCTAGAACAGATCTTCCAAGATGGATATGTGTGACCTGGTTGCATAAAATACTCCATCTCTCCCTCCTAATATTGCTAGTGAGATTTAATGTCAGTGATATAATAGTTTAATATTACTGATAATTGCTCATGTGACTTTCCTTAAAAATCTCCTTGTCTGGAGCTAGGAAAACTATCAGTAAAATGTTGCGATTCTCTGATTCCTGCTTGCAAGGGAGAAAGTGTAATTTCCTTATATTTTCCACTTTAATCTGCAAGTGGAAAAGAAAAATTGAGAAGCATCTGGTATCTAAAGATGGCAAAAAGGCTGCCACAAAATAAACAAAATAATATATGCCACATGTTTCCAGAAAGCCTTCACTTATGGATAATTCCATTAATAAAAAGTAACAATGGGCCATTTTTAAACCATTCATTAGATGGGCTCATGAATCTTCCACCACTTCCACACCTCATAATTGCATGGGGATGGGGGGAATTGAAATTCCAGAAATGTGGATTTGCAGTTTTTGTTACTTAAACTACCATGACCATTGTAGTTTATTCTCCAGCCACACTTCCTGGAATGGCTTTGGAATTGTGAGCAATATGGATTAGAAAACAATGTTTACAAAGCAAAGTCACTTGGCCGGCTCATAAGGTTAGGGTGAGTGGACAATTCAAGCGGACCTACAAGCTATGCTATCCAAACTATCTCTGAATTTTTCTCCTGTCCTTAAGAATATAAATGGATCACAGACTTTCATATTCATGGGAGGTTATTTTGAGAAACAAAAGTGGGTAAAGGGAATTTTGGCTCAGCCTTAGCAAAACTGAAAAATATGAATTGGGTTGATATTGTGGCATGGTCTCACCACTGAAGCCAGCCTGGTGCCAACACTGTTATCTTGTCAGCACAGAGGGCAAACACTGCCCTCTATCTCCAGGCTCTTGATGGCATATGATAGGTTATGTCTGCTCCTTTCCATTAGGTCTGGTTTTTAATGGAAATATTTTAGATGTGAAACTGTTTCAAATTTTTATATATTAGAAATTTTAGCTGTTTTAAATTTACATACTGGAACTTTAGACTGTGTTTCTTTGTATTTATATTTTATACCTGGTTTATTGTTGTGCACTAACAACCAGAGAGCTTTGGCTATTGGGCAGCATATAAATAAATAAATTTTCTTTAGACAGAAGCTCCACTTTCAGTTCTATGACTGAGGAAATTATTCTAGTCTTTGTGAAGGAAAACTATCTGCATTAAGGCTGAACAGAAAGGACCAGCGCCACAACTTCGCTGCCCAAGGCAGTGGTGGTGATGGGGCTCATTTCACTAGCACCACCAAACACACACTGTGTACACATGCCCCAGGAAAAAGATTAGATCGTGTCAAGCAAGCAGCTGCTTAATATCCAGGTAAATTTCTTGCAGCTCTGAAGAGACCTCTGTTCCAGTCGCCTTTTATCACCACCCCGTGAATTTCTTTTCACATAAGAAATGTAGGCTAAAACCTAATTCAGCATCTGTAAAAGTGCTGGTCTTAAACTCAGCAAACATTTATTTATTTATTTATTTATTTATTTATTTATTTATTTATTTATATTTAGAAAATGTGTAGGCCATCCATCACTGTTGTCTCTGGATGGCTTACAACATCATTTCAGTCCTCAATAAAATAAGTTAACTGTTCCACAGTGAGCATAAAATGAATCTATTTAAAATAAATTAAATAAATCTAACACAATTAAAATTACTATATGTTAAAATATTGGTCAAACGAAAAGGTCTTGACCTGCCGCGGAAAAGTATATAATGACGGCGACAGGCTGATATTTATTAAAAAACAAAAATATACAAATCTAACAGAAGACGTGGTAGGAACACTTACTTGGCACATATTCAGGCATATTTAGTGTAGGGTCTCCACAGCCAGTAACTGCACCATTGACAAAGCTGGCTGGTTCATTCATATCCTTAAATTCAAAAACAAATACATAAGCATTTTATAGATGTTAATTAACTCTTCATCACTTCGATTATGGAGTAGATACCATGCAACAAGAAATGTTATCTACCATGCAACAAGGCTCCCCCATCCCAGATGCTAGATCGGCCTGTAATTTCTCCTACGTAATATCAAGTCCCCATACCTGCCTCCTAACACCATTGGATTCCCAACTGGTGCCTCACTGGAGCAGCCAACAATACCCTGTGAGGAATTCTCCCAGTCAAAGAAAGCTCTGGAAGAGCAAAGCCATGTCCTGGCCTGAAGGGCCATCCAAAGACTCTTGTACTTCTTTGAGTTACAATGTAATATAACAGTAATAAAATATTCAAAATACATTTTTAATGAAAATTGTGTATTTTTAATTACTATTTTTAGGAATGGGAGGTCATGAATAAGAAGACAGGAAGAACACAATGGACCAGAAAGGTTTGATTTGGATTTGCTGAAAGTAGAAAGCAACTATCATCAACTGTATTGTTCAGAAATCTTAAATATTTCTTCTGGCATATCTGCCTCATAAGAGTACAGTAACAGTACACAATGCTAGAAAACAAATGTAGAATAACAAATAGGTTATCACCTATAAAGCCCTTAACGGCTTTGGTCCTGGTTACCTGAAGGAGCGCTTACGTCCATATATGCCCACCCACTCCTTGAGATCAGCGGCAGAGGCCCTTCTCCGGGAACCCTCCGGGAAGGATATTAGGAGGGTAAGTACTCGGAGGAGGGCTTTCTCTGCGGTGGTGCCCAATCTATGGAATGCGCTCCCCAGAGAGGTCCGCCTGGCGCCATCGTTATTTGTTTTTCGGTGCCAGCCAAAGACCTTTTTATTCAAACGTTATTTTAATTGTTAATATTATTTATTTATTTATTTATTTATTTATTTATTTATTTGGGCCAGGTTGACTCAAATTATATTATTTTGTTTTATACGGTATTTATTTATTTATTTATTTATTTATTTATTTATTATTGTGAGCCACCCTGAGGCTTTGGTGAATGGAGCAGCATAGAAGCCTTCGAAATAAATAAATAAATAAATAAATAAATAAATAAATAAATAGTAAAGATACGCCTTTTTTCTTCAGAAACTACTTTCTATATCAACCATTAAATAAAAGATAACATTAAAAGAGGTAGAACTTACTATCCATAGACCATCAAATTTAACACTTTTCGCTGGGTCAGTAGGGTTGCTGTGAAACTCTTGAATTTCCCTTTTCCACCACGTAGCTGTAGAATTGCGAAAGAAATCTGGGAAAGCGGTCCAAGCACAATATAACTGTATTAAGAGATAATGTAAGGGGTCAGGGAAAATTGATGGAATGATTTGTTGTAGCTCTCTATTGTTTTTCTGAAGCCAAGCAAGGTAATTTATGAAAAGATCAGAAATAACAGTAACAGTAACAGTAATATAAGAAAAATGTAGTCCAGCATTCATATCAAGAATCTTAGCAGGTATCAGGCTTTAAGTTGGTCTTTGGCCAATCTGTGCTCTATAGAACATACCCTTCCTGCATATCTTAATAGACACTATAGGCAAGAGCCAAATAATGACTTAGAGTACATCAATCCCCACACAGTGGCTGTGGTGAACCTCAGCCCAGGGCCAAATCTTGGGTTTTCGGGATGCTCCTGCCTTCTTTCTCTGGGTCCATTGCATTTTGTTTAGTGGATCCCCAACTGTCTTGTATTTTCCCATTCTAAAAACCTCAAGTGCCTCTCCTAAGGATTAGTCCCTAGCAGCAACAGCTTTGCACTACCATAGAATAGCGAACTTTGAAGGGGCCTATGAAGCCATTTAGATCATACCCCTGATCAATGCAAGAAACCAAGTTAAAGCATCCCTGATAGAGGACTGTTCAGCTGCTTCTCAAATCTGCTGTTTTTTTCCTCCTCCTCCTCCATGTCTAGTGCTATCTTTGGTCCCACCCACCACATCACTGCATTTCTGCAGATGGAACAGATTCTTCCAGCCCAATAAGAACTCTTACCTTAGCTGGGATTGGGTATTTTAAGGTACATCTATATAAGCTTGCGTTGTTATATTTCTGCAAACCCAATGGTCATTTTGAATTCCCAACCACCATTTGAATATCCCCTGTGTAATATCCCAGGGAAGCTGGTCACTCCTATGTCAGTAGGGCCCTTTATCCATCACAGTGGTCCCCCCACTCCCGCCTTTTGGTCTCTATGTGAGCTATCCATGGTGCTGAACTCCATCCCCCAGCTAGGTTCACCACCATGACTAGCTTCCAGAAAGCTAAAAAAGAAACATTGTACTAGACAAGGACCACCACTGATATAGAAGTCACTGGCTTTTCCTGGTTATATTACAAAAATCTTGCCTGATGATGGTTATGTCAACAGTGCAAAGCACTTTGTCCTGTGGCATAGATAGCCTTCTTTTAGGGGGCTGGGAAACAAAACACATTTGGTCTTACAGAATATGTTCCAGGGGTCTTTGGATTCTAGCCTCTTAGTCCACTGGACTTCAACAGTGCCTGCTAAATACTGGCTGACAGTATTGTTGGTATGATCCAGCACTTCAGAATGAATAGGCTGAACTCCCTGCAGGTATTTAGAAAGGAAGCATGATCTAGCCAATCTAAAGGATTGGGCAGCCCTCATCTCCCTCCATCCAATATGGATGGATCCTAATTCAGGAGTCAAACACATGCTTTGTATGGAGACAGGACTAAGAGATCATGCCTGAAACCCTGGAGATCAACTGCCAGCCATTCTCAACAGAACTGGGGTAGATAAACCAATGTTGACCTAATTGGACTAGCTATACTCAGTGTAAGGAAGCTTTCTATGCTACAGCTACAGGTTTCCAGTATGACTAATGTATCACAAATGCTTCTTGCATCTCAGTGAATGAGCTCGCCTTTTTCATTCCTCTATCCAAGTTTATATCATAGAAATAAAATGTGTTTGCCTGTACAAAGCAAGACTTGACACATGGTAACATGTAGCATTCTTTTTGTTGTTGTTGTCACTGTTGTTTTAACCACCAGAGCAGTGCTTTCAGTACCAGAATCATTTTTCCACAGAGGCTCACAGTGTTCGTGTGAGCTGTACCTACCTCCACTTTCTCATCCCAGCCTAGTGAGGCATTCACAACAACGTTGGGGAGGTATGGCCACACCTAAGAAAAACATGTTTGGCTTAATGCAATACAAATATTTTGTAGGAGGAACTGTTCTTTGAACTGGCTGTTTTCTACTGTTACCAGCAAGAAGTTACCCCATCCCAAGAATCAGACAGAGAAGAGAGAAAAGCCCAAAGATGAACCCCCACCCTACTTATCAAATTCCTTTAAAATGCAGAGTTGTTTTGACTGTGCAGAGACAAGTACATATAGCAAACAGCAGGTTGCTAGCTATCACCATGCTCTCCAGTTAAATGACATCTAACAGTCCTCACAAGAAGGAATATTGTCTAGCTAGACAATTTGTTGATAGACTATCATTGCTTCTACAGTCGCCCAGACAAACCATGCTATTAATTTCACCCTGCATGTTGGATTAAGTGGCCCCATCCTGGTTTACATTCTGTTGTGTCATGTATACATAAGTACATGTACGTTTTTGTTACCCTAGGACATTGCCCAAATCTACATATTAGCTCCTCCCCTTGTTACTTATGACTTTCTTTCTATAAACTAAAACATGCTTAGGAAACAAAATATCTCAGATTTTGTATGAGAAGAGTTTTATGCAATACTTTTATACCTTATATAAAATACCCCAAATGAAAGAACAAAAGAAGGTTAAGTACAGTTTATCTTAGTCATTTTGGAATATCAAGAGTCTGCACTACAAGCTCCAGCAAACAGAATCAAAATGCAGTGAGGGAAAGTTTATTAGTGCTGGTTTAAAGTTTGTATGGCCAATTATCATTATGCAGATCAAAGGTCAATAGGTGAAGCACTTCATACAGGTTGCATTGCTTTGTATTTCTTCAAGAAGTGCCATCTTAAATTACCTGTGCTAGCTGAAACCTGAAGACCATTCTTACAGTGATTCAAATTTCCTGTGGGCAACAGTCAGCAAAACAAAAACCTTTCCACACATAGCATTTGCTTTGTCTGAAGCACTTTTGTCTGGGGTAAAAAATGACCCCTCTTGTGAGTTGTGCTGTTTCGTATTGACACTGGTTTATATCACCATATCTAGGGCAGGGTTTATCCAAATAAAAGGACATGGAAGATTTCCATACTGTATATTTTAAAATATTTTTACATATCATATATGAATGCATTAAGATACATAAATCATTACCTTTCCCCACACAATATCACTTCCATTGGGCCATTTAATGAAGACATCATCCTGAACACCTCTCAAGAATGCTGGATAGTTAGTTTCATTTCCAGAAATGGCTGGATCCTGAAATAAAATATATATCCTTTTTACACTTATTTTAGTTTGAAGAGTCAACTTTATAAACATAAAGAGCAATCCAATATTGAAGGGATGCTCATTGAGGAGTAATAGGAAATTGCTGAGGCCCTGCCATGGGAAAAAAGGCATAGAGGAAAAGAAGAACACTTTGTACTAAATGGAAGCCCTTTGCACAGACAGTCTTTCCCCAGAATGCTCCAAGGGACTTGAGCACACGGGTAATGCTCTTTTTCCTATAACGCTTATGGGTACCATGTTTGGGACTCTGGAAAAGGAAAAAAATGAAGAGGAGAAAGATCTAGGATATCTGCTGGGATGTTTTGTGGCTGGTTGGACAAAACAAGAGACAAATTGGTCATACGGAATGCCAGAGCCTCATGCAGTAAGCAGGATATTGGTCCCTGCAGTATCCTTTCTGATTTGCTCAAGTGAGTTTAAAGGCATGAGCAGGTCCTCCTCATCTTTTTCCATGTCGAATTTGCACCCTATTTTAATTGAGATCCTATTGCATGTAGACTGTGAGCCTTTCAATCAAGCTAAGACTCTCCCAGAGGTCCCTGAGTTGCTGGGCTTTATGACTAGATCTGGGAACCAGTCCTGGGAGTGGGACAAAGGAAAGTGTCTCAAGCTAAGCCTGATTCTGTCTGCTGTTGTTAGGAAATTGTTCTGCACTGTTTGTAGAGTTGCAGCCAAGAGATTCCTCCTTTTTCTTTCAGGCATGTTGCTTCCTCCACCTCCTCCTCCTCCTCCTGTTCAGGTATGAAAAAGTTAATAGAGACATTCTCTCTTTGCCTTGGTGGGGACTGAGCTCATCCCTCCTGCTTCTTAATCCTGTGGCTTAACCCAAGGTACTGTTGTCATTTTTGTTTGTGGTTCCCATTGTTGTGTGTTCTGCCCCCTCCCTTTGACTGCTTAGCAAACCTACTTCCCTGGAGCTTCTTAAATCCTGTCCCAGAAGTGCTTTGTGTGTTTTCTACAGGCTTTCTTCACAGTGAACTACTATTGTGGCTATTGTGTTTCTTTTCCTTCCTTTTCTTTGCATCTCTTAGGTCAGAAGAACAGTGATGGTTAGTAACATGATGGGGCTCAAACCCATGAGTGGAGGAGTGTCTAGGCACTGATATTTGTGGGTCTTGGGAAAGACTGGTACTGAATGGAGTTCAGAATTGCCTTGCAAAGTTACCTAAGTAAAAGTATCACGTTATGAAAGATTTCAGAGAGATTAACCACATGTACTCACCAAAATGATGACAAATCTCATTCCATCCTGTTTCAGTGTATCAACCACACTTGGAAGTTTCTGAAAGTTTTTGCCAAGAGTGAAGTCCAATTGCCGTTCCATATAATCAATATCTGCATATTGGATATCCTATGCAAAACAGTGATGTTTGTAAATGTGTGTTTGTATGCCATAGTTGATTTTAAGGTGAATTGATCAACTGACATTTACAGTTTTCATGGAAGAAATTTGCCAAAGGTCAGGAAAATAGGAACTGCCAAGACCACTACAAGTGACTTCTAGTAAGCTAGTGTATTTTTAACATTTAACATTTTTGTACAGATGCCCCAGGAGCAGATCAGTAGATTTCTGAAACTGTCCCCCATCTGAAAGGTAGCTTGCTATGTAGTGCAACAGCTGAGCTTAGCCCCTCATTTTTGAGATTGCTAAAGTATTATTTATTTCTATACCACCAATTGCCAAAGATCTCAGGGCAGTTTTTAATAATTGTGAAAGATGCCATAAAATACAGATCCAATAAAAACAGTATTAAATTCCAATGTAAAAATTTAAAACACCTAAACATTCCAATATAAAAAATATAAAATAGTTTAGCATCTAAAATATTTCCATCAAAAACCAGACCTAACAAAAATAGCAGATATAATCCATCATATGCCATTAAATGCTATTTTTTCCAGTTTAAAATGAAATGTGACCATGTTGCTCTTCCTGGGCAGTTTTCCTTGTAGAAAAGTCAAATTAAATGGCAGTGTGATCACTGCTGTTCAGTGGATCACCAACACTTAGATTCCACACCTCATCCCAAGCATGGTACAAAAGTAAATCCAAAGCAATCTTCTTCCAATTAGTTCCTTTACTGACTATTTCAAGGCACAGCAATATGCCGGACTTAGAATTTTTATCTCAGCCCATACATTTCCCTAGTCCATGTGAAGATAGTTGAAGTCTATTCTCCACTGACAGCCTTCAGATTATGGCCAGGTGTCCCAGTTTCAAATCGCCACTTAGCCATGACTGTTGCAAGATAGCCTTGGCCCAGTCGCTATCTTTTGGTCTAGCCTCTCTCACCTGGTGGTTGTGAAGATAAAATGGGAAAGGGGAGGAACTTTCTGGTCACCCTGAGCTCTTTGGAGGGAAAGCAAGATATTAAAAAGTAAATGCACCATAATATTTACACAAAACTTACATAGGGGATATTAGCTGCCTTCATTTGATTGTATAGGTCAGAGATTTCTGTATCATTTTCATATCCATAGCGACACATCTGGAACCCCAAACCCCAATATGGTGGCATGACTGGACGTCCAATGAGCTAATAATAATAAAATGAAATATAGAATATTCAGATTACTGGCAAAAGAAAAAAAGGACCAAATTGTAGGTTTTTAAAACAGGTTTTATAACACAGTTTTAGTCTTACTGCAGTATATTCCTGAACTACTTGCTCTGGAGTTGGGCCCAAGACCATATAGAAGTCCAAAATTCCTCCTATGGTACGGTAGGTCAAAGCAGGAGTTGGCTGGAACTTTACCTCTAGAAAATCAGAAAGGCGGAAATACGGCATGGGATTATGTGATAATACATTGTTAAGTAATGATCATCACTCTCTTAGTTTGGCTGCAGAAAGTTCTGCACAGTAGGTTGAAGAACTTTCCCTTTGGGAAGTTAAGAGACTCCCTAGATTATGCAAAAACTTGTATCTTCTTATTTCTTGGTGATCAGAACAACTGCCAAGTTTTAAAAAGTGCTTGTCACAAATTACATTTGTTTTGGTTCATGTTGGTCCTGATCAATGAATCTGCCCTATCTAAAAGTAGGTTGGTGACACCATCATTTTTCTATTGTGCTTTCATTTCTTTGGAAATGACATGCTGCCTTAGGTCACTAATTTGCTGACAGGAAAATAGGCAGGGGACTTCCTGAAGTAATCAGATTCCCATCCTGGCATCAGAAAGAATAGAAGGGAATAGAAAAAATTGGGCTAGGGACTGGCATGATGCATGGTCCACTCTAATTCCAAACTGAAAATATTTGAAAAGAACAGTAACTTACCCATTCCATTACTGTTCAGCAAAAGAACTCCATGAGCATTTCCATCATTTTCCAGGCCCATGTAAAAGGGGTGAACTCCATATGTGTTGTATTGGTACTGCAAATGTGAAAGAAAAAATTATGGACTGCGACAAAAATCTTCACTTAGTGAATTCATTTCCTTATATCAACAAGACATAGAAAATTCTACTTCACAACAAATGAAGTAAATAAAAATTCTTCAGTTTTCTGAAGAACCCAAGATGACTTGAATAGAGAAGCATGGGAACCACAGAAAATAGTTGGTGTAGGTAGGGCTGGCCCAAGACATTTTTCTGCATGTGAAGGTCAGGATTGTGCCCCCCCCCATTCCATATACAAAAATCCAGTTGGACTGGCATATGAAGCTTTATTCATCACAGGAAGTGGCACAGCTTTGTCCACCCAACCTGGAAACTGTAGGCTAAGTTAAGCCAGACAGGACAGGGCTCAAAGCTCAGCCTTCCAACACTCAGCTGCCTGAAGCATCTGTGTTCCTCTTCTTAAAGCCAGGGCCAACCATTGGACAAGGTGGGTTCCAGACTTGTCTCTTTATGAATGGAAAGGTTCCTATTCATGGGGGGAGCTGAGGTCCTCCGGAACTTTCCTACAGAAAGATGAGGGCGGCAATTTTCTTCAACTCTTCTTGCAGCCTGAAGGGACACCCCCCCCCCGCTGTTCTGGAGGGCCACTTTAAAGTTTTTCTTTATCATTAAATGTTGCTTTTCTTTAAGGAGCATACAAGCACAATTTTTGTTCCAGTTTTTTTTTAAATTAAAACATTTTTCTTTTCCAAAAGGAACACACACACACTACATTTTGAGCTTTCTTTTGCAAATATTTGCAAGGAGGTACACTTTTTTTCCCTTCTTGGGAAGCAGAGCCTTTTGGTTATTTCCCCCCACCTAACTTTTGCTATAGTGCTGCTGGCCTCCTGTAGAAAGGCAATATTACACAATCGACAATGGAATAGAATCACCCTTGTCCTACCACCAATCATTCCCAACACAGATATATGACTTTGTATGAAAATCTATGTGCCACTAGGTGGAAAAAAGTCCTTGAGTGTCCTTGGATGATTTACTCATTGCAAAACAAAGATACGTCAACAAGAGTGACACTGAAGCAGTTCCTTTTGTTTTCAGATCATTTAAAGTTTAAATCTGTCATCCTCATATTAGGTTAGATGCACCCTAAATTAATTCCAATTAATCACTACTTAAATCAATGGGATTTACATAAAGGTTTACTTAATATTGATTTCAGTGGAACCTAAGCACAATTCAGGGAAATATCCAAGCTGACGATAGCAACAGAATTTCTATGGCAATCTGTAATGCAATGCTAGTAGTGTTGACTGGCAATCTGAGCAATCCTGTAACACTGTGATTGTGGTGTGCTAAAGATTGGTTGCACTAGGAATGTATGAGAAGTCCAATATGCACCCTGAGATTCTGGCTTACCAACTTTGTCCTGGTGCTGACTTCCTATGCATCCACACAGCTTATAGATTTCCAGTTCTATGATATGCTATGATTTGCATATTGTTAAAAAAGAGTAAGGAATTTTGCTTAAAATTTGCTGATTAGTACAAGTCAGATCCCAAACTATCACCTGAGTCTCAGGTAGATTCAGTGTCCAGAAGCACCTTCTTTCAGCTGCATCTAATTTACCAGCTGTGACCCTACCAGAACACCAAGAGCCTAGCCATAGTCACATACACTCTGGTAACTTCTTGACTGGACTATTGTAAAATGTTGTATGTGGGGCTGCCCTTGAAGGCAGTCCGGAAACTCCAACTGGTACAGAATAGGGTTGCGTGACTGCAGGAACGATTAAGTTCGCATGCCCAAAATCACCCCAATATTATATTGGTTACATTAGCTACCTGGTGAGCTCTGGGCCCAATTTAAGGTGCTTGTGGTAACATATAAAGCCCTAAACAGCTTGGAACCAGAGTACATGAAGGATTGCCTGCTCCCATATATACCTAAGAGGGTTTCCTCTCAGAGGAAACTCTTCTGAGAGAGTCGTCTTTTAAGGAGGTAAATAGGTTGGCAAATAGAAGAGGAAATTTCTCAGTGGCTGTGCCCCATTTATGGAATTGCCTTCAAAAGGTAGTTTGCCTGGCGCCTTATTTACAATAATTTCAGCCCCAGTCCTCTTCTCCAGACATGTCAAGAACTTATTTTATACTTGGATATTATTTATAATGTTCTTACTTTTACTATATTTTTACTTATTGATACCTGACCTCCGCTGCGTATTTCTCAGTTTTATTGTTGTTTTTATTATTTTTATTTTGTGTAATGTTGCATTTGGCTTGGGGAGTCTTCAGACTAGCAGAATATAAATTGAATAAATGAATAAATGACAAATGAAGAAACAATCAATCAAACAAACAAATAAATAGATAAAGCATATGAGGAACATGGTGCCACTGTGTGCAAATTAGCTGTTTTTATACAAATTGCAGTAGATCCATGGGCTTTTGGGGGTGTCTCCTTGTGCACAACATACAAAATACCATGATTTGTACAAATTGTATAAACTCTAACCCTAATTTGTGTAAATGCTCCTAAATAGTGCTAATAGTGATACTCCCTGAAATTTCCTTAACATTAAAAATGTACAGGTCATAGCCTAGCTTGGAGACTGAAATCCACAGGAATACTCTGATTCTTACAATGAGCAAATGAACCACAATTTCATAGTCAGCATGTCCCTAGTTCATACTATAATGTAAATTAGCATTATGTCTTCTAGGATACTGCCTCCATTTAGTCTGGATTCAGATCCTCTGAGTTTTCTTCTGTTAAGAGGTATGATGAAGAAAATAAAGCATGAATCCCCCCAGGCAAGTGGTACTCACTCCAGGAGATTGATCCCTTGCAAACATTGGCCAGGTTTTCCAGTCCATTTCTTGGTGGTATTGTTTATGCTCCGTTTCACCAAACCCATAAACATACTGTGAGGGTAGGCGAGTTGAAATTTGAATGAACATGTCACTGAAGGTGAATCCAGGTAATTGGGAATCCCAGCTACAATCAAAAGATTATCTGGTTATTGAATGAAAAAGTGAAAAGAAAGCAAATGGATCATAATGATATATGAGGACACTGAGTTTTCAGATCATTTCCAGAACGAAGTGGGGAATAAAATATTATAATAATACAACTGTTTCTGTTTTGGCTATCAAAAGGTACATTTATCATTCAGTCCCAAAGACAGCTATGAGGGAGTGTTGGGCAGCTTGAATAGCAAAGCTGTACAAGAGGAGGGACTGCAGTTGGATCACAGGCCTGGAAATTTGAGCCTGAATGTAGCACTGTAGACATAGACATGTGTACTTTGGCCCCCAGAATGAACTTTACTGGACTTGATGAACCAGTGCTTAGACTCAGTGCAAGGGACCCTTTCATTCTTGTGCTGGTCAAGAACATCAAGCCTATCCAATCATGCTGCCCTACAAACAGTGTTGCTTTTAAATATTAGATGGCAAAGCTGCACCAATGCAACTTGCTCTGCGGTTGCCGCAGTGCCATCAAAATGCTTCCCTTCAGTAGGTACCCATGCCGCCAGTAATATACTCTTGCTCTGTTTAGTAAAGCTGTGGCAAATATTAGAAGCCAATGCCAATATGACCATGTTCACCTAGATTTGTATACCAGTGGGGCTTTTATTCTAATGGGATCAGGTCAGGATGCCATGGCAACACAGGTACCTCTGTGCCTAGTCCCAAACACTTATTCAGTGATGTACCAACTCACCATGAGAGTAAATATTCCGCAAGTCTCTATTGTTCCAAAAGGGAACACACACAGTCTGCCACACATTCATCCATTCATTCATTTGTAAAATGTGTATGCCGTCCAATGACTAACGTCTCTGGACAGCTAACAGCATAAATAAATTGACGATAATAATTTGATCTTGGAAATCATGACCAACAGCAAACACAAAAGAACTTTCCCAGGATTGAAAGCAAAAATGCATGTTAGAAGAAACTTCAGTTGATGGGTAATGGAGGGTGGGGGTATTGGATTTAAATTAAGATACTTCTTTCATCTTGGGTAATCCTACACTGAGAAGAACATCAGTGCAGCTCTGGTGTAGTCCTACGAGTTTCACCCAAGCACCAGTGATCTATGGGGGAGCAAGATAAAGGTGGTTGTCAGTAAACCCTTGGCATGATCCCTTTAGATTCTGTGTTCTGTCATCTTTGCTAAGACCAGAATTGCCTACCAGAAGGTAATGGATGTCGAGAGACACAGGACATTCAAATGCCAGAAGATACAGCATTTCTAGGTATAGTATTAAAATCATGGGGTCTGCAAATACAACAATTGCCTATAGACTGTGATGTCACTCCTCTCCTCTCCTATATACTATTGTAAAGCCCATTTCAAACACATGAACATAAACAGATGAGCATTTGGGGAAGCCATGGTACAGAAACAAATCTGCTTGAAAATTGACTGGGACAGGACTTTGTCCATCCTATTTTAACTGTTCTAAAAATACTATGGATAGCGGGGTCAGGAACCTGCAGGAACATTTTTAAATAAACAACTAATGATGAGCTGTTACAGAAAAGAAATTAGAAATCATTCAAGATCTGTATGGGGATAGTTTAAGCACTAATAGTACTGAGAAGATTTTTGATCTATAACTCCCATGTATCTCTGCTACTTTGTTCTGTGTAATGGTGAGCTTATCTCTCTGCTGTCTGATCATATGCAATGACAGGTGTGGAGAGGAAAAGCTAAACTAAGCTTAGACAGTTGCCTGCTGATCCCAAAAGGAACAGTATGAATACTTCGGTTCACAAAGAATTTACTCAAAAGCTTATAGCAGAACAGAGCACTCCTACGGGGTTTAACCATAAACAGTGATATTTCTTCAACTCACATGTTCTCTAAAAACTGTCATATGTAAACCTATTATGTGATCATTGAAAATCCTTTTAGCTTTATCCAGACTGTCAACTCTGCTCTTCACTGAACCCTACAGATCCTGCTGCCACCTCTCTTAAATTCTAAATAGCCCCTCTCTTGTGTCATGGAGGTTAAAGCTTGATTTTTAAAACTATGTTATGGTTATGTAGGCTTCTACAATTGGTGAGGGTGTTCAAGGATAGGCTAGACATGCACATGGTGGGCATGTTGTGAACAGAGCCGGCTGGAGCCTGGGGTCAGACTAGATGGCCCAGGAGACCCCTTCTGACTCGCTCTCTATGTCTCTATATAGTTAGGCATGTAACTAATACATGCAAATGTCTTTCTTTGGTCTGAGAAAATTCAGTTCATGTAAACAAAGCATTGGATTCAGAATATGGTCATGTATAGAACAGACTCATTTTAAATAGTGGGAAATATTATTCACATTTACATGGCCAAGCCCTATACAGAAGAGTGAAGAGGACTGCACATATTGGCCCTAATTCAAGGACCAAGTCCCATCTCTCTTGTGCTGAGTGGCAAGATCTGAACTGGGGTTCTGTTTGCACTCACCTGAGTAGAACGTTCTGCACCATCAAGAACTATGCTTACTCAGGGTCTCAGAAGAAAATGCAGTTGCATTCATTTTCAAATGAACAAAAGCAGAAGTTCTCTTCAGATATCCCTGCTCGATGCAGGAAGGGGGTGTGGGTGAGACAGAGGGACCAGCAAATGCAGGGATGTTGTAGGTGGTGCCATTGCTACTCACTTCATCCTTTAACATTGTATACCTTTGCCAAACAAAGGTAAGAGGACAATGCCAGCAGCATTTTAGGTGTGGCTCATTTAAGACATCATACAAAAGTTTTTCCTCTTGCAATGAAATGGGGTTCCCATGAAATGTGAATGGAGAAGATAAAGAACCTCTGAGAGCAGTGATCTGTTTACAGCTAAACAAGATACTATGCACCTAGCATGAAGAAGGACTGTCACAGGGCTGCAGTTTTATACAATTTGTAAGATCATTAATATGGTGATCAGATTTTGTAATCACTAGGGTCTGAATTAGCCCCAAAGAGCTTATACAGAGGCCAATATTGATTTTGTGAAATTCCCGCACCTTCTACAACTGTTTTCTCATAGATTCTTTTAGGGAATGAAAATACTAGGCCAAAAGATTATCTGCAGGGCTTTAGAAAGGAGAGATCTTGAAAAACATTTGACCTGACAATACATTCTGAAGAGAAAAGCAAGATAATGTATTTTATAAAGAAATTTTCTCCAGAGGAAAAATAAACATGTTAAAATCTAGAGGCAGCTTTGGAAAGATGAACCAAGATGAATACAGTTGCCGCTGATCTCAGGCAAAATAATCCTGGGATCATATGATTATACATGACTCTAAGGAAGTATTACAAGCATAAATAAGGCCACGTATATTACAGTGCCGTTCAGGTAGAATAAGCAAAATCAATTATTCTGACTGGTGTAACAACACTATTCAGAAGGGAAATATCCAGTACTGCTGCTCTATATTTGCTGATTCTTTTCCACTTGTAGGACTACCACTAGCACAACAAGAACCAACATTTTGGGTGTGTGTATGTGAGGGGAGCCGCATAAACAATTGGAAGTAGGGATATGTGAGGAATTCAGCTTGGGACTGGGAACCCATCAAATTTCTCAGCTTGAATTCCTGCTTTTCTTCTTCTCTAAGTCCAACTTGGGTGAAGCATTTGCACGGGTGACCAAATGGCATCAAGAAGAGTTCTACTCCCCCAAATGTGACTTTCAGACTTCGTGCACATTGCACAAAAAATATATTCTTTGTCTGTTTTGCTCAAAGAATTATATACTTTGTGCAAAGAATTACATATTTTGTATTCATTGTGCAAAGAAACTGCTAACATTCCCAAGTGTTCACGGACTTGATCTCAGCTTGGCACAATTCCTGGCCAAGACTGAGCATAAGAAAGAAATCCAATAAGTGCAAGAGAGACAGATTCTGGCCAGATCGTCAAATCCCTAATTAGAAGCACTAATTTCCAGAACAACACAGATCAGCAGAGCTGCAAGCTCAATTGACCTGCAGTTTTCTGAAAATGAGCATTTTTACTAATTTTTAATTAGCTTTGTTCAGAAGCAATTTCTGATGGGTTTGGGAACTGTTAGGTTCATACTGTGCTAACAGACAATATTGGATCCACTTACATGACTGTCCCAGTACTTCTGCGACGAACCTGGATACCAAATGGGTTGTTTTGAACTGACACATCATAGAGACGATTCTCAGGGGTACTTGCTGGTGTGTTGGGGAGGTTCAAGGGCACTGGCACCTCATATCTCTTCTTACTGTAATCATAAATCTGCAAAGAGAAATTGAGTAGGAGGTTTAGAAGACAGTCGTAAAATATACACATCGAGACTGGAATTGCATTTTATATCAGTTCCCTGCCATGTCAATTATAGGAACTCTGTAGTAAAGCAACAGAACAGTTCACTACCTTTTATGGGTAGCCTATGTAGGGAAAGGACATGGATAAATGTCATTACTGACTTGGAAACTGTTTCAGCATCAGCTACAGCCACCAGAAATAAGTTATACAATTTCATGGCAGAAATACGGAGACTACAATGAGCCCAAGTGGGGCTTTTAATTCTTGTGATGATGATCTGACTTAAAAATACCTTGTGTCCAGTCTGAAAACACAGCCATTGGAGCCTCTGCAACTGGAAATTGTAAGATCAGTCAGTCAGAGGCCTACACAACTAACAGGCTTCAAGTAGGGTGACTTGCCAAGGGTTCCTCAAATTAAAATAGTGAAAGAATAGTACAAATAATAGTTTCATACATCCTTCTTGCTTCTGATTTCTATAATCTTCCAGGCTGATTTACAAATGTAGACTTCAAGGTTGCTCAGCTTCCCACAGGGCAGAAGACTGCTACTTTGGCACCCACACTCATGCCTTTGTAATCACCACTCAGAAACAGCGCCTTGGTACTTCCAAGTCCCAGTCTCTTGATTGAACACCTCATTCTGTGCTAGCAAGATGTCCAAGGTATTTGACCAGGGTTTCCAGTCAGGGAGAAAAATTGTTAATGGTGTCACTCATTAAGAATTGCTGGACCAGTTTTTGGTAATTTTGGTAATGGATTATGAAAAACCATGATCAGTTTTTATGACTGCTTCTTAGTTTTGTGCCATGATGGGTTCCAGCTGGCCTTTGAATGAGGGAGACAAAGCCACACCATTTCTAGTCAAAACTCAAGTAGTTCCAATCCATATGCATGATGGGGTTTAGAATGTAACTGAAGCAAGAAACTATGTTTATGCACGTTCTTTATATTTAAGACCCTCATCTAATACAAAGCCTGTTCCTTGCCTCATTCTTGAACCAATAAGACCAGACCAGGATATGGTCTGAGGGTTAGACATGCAGCTACCTTGAAGAAGCTAAGCAGCTCTGGTCAGTACCTTGATGGACAACCTTCTGGAGCAGACTTCCTCAACCTGAAACCCTGCAACTCCCATAATTCCCAGTCAGCACCAGCATTTATTTTATTTATTGTTGTAATATGAAATGGGTTGTCATTACAGAAAATCTAGTCTCTCCTGTCAGTATGTTTCTAATTTCTTGGGACCATGAGCAATGTAAATCAGGTCAATCCTAATGCATGGGTTGATTAATAATTAGAAGAGGCTCTGTCAAGTTTTGGGGTCATAAAACATTTGTGGGTTTATATGCCAGTGGCAAGATATTGCATTGGGCCAGTAGCTTACTAGCAATTAGATAATTCCTTGCAATCAGATGATTTGGTGGTTAAGTGGAAGACGGTGATAACATGTGTCTTCTTTAGAATGGAATATTTAATAATTGGACACAACACTTCTCTAGATACATAAATATTTGAGTCTTCTTTCAATTTCTGTCTGCCAATATACAGTGATGATATTACATGACTTGTATTTTGGAGCCAATACAATTAAAACACCTAGTGGGACAAAATAAAAAGCCTGACTACTTACATAAGAGCCACATACATGTGGATGCAGTCCAAAATATTAACAACTGCATTCTTGTTTTGCAATTTTTACCTTAAATTGAAGCATGTTGTTCTCATGGTATTTCACCTCCAAGCGAAGTGTGTTAATGGGTTCCAAAGATAATGTTGCACTTTTAACAGATTTCTTGCTTCTTCCAAGGTCTGCCATTAAACCAGAAGGTGTGTATTGAATTTGGTCAACATTGTAACCATAATCAGAAGGGTAGTAACAGTAAGGGACTCCTGAAGGAGCAGAAGCCTAAAAGCAGAAGCAAATGTTGTAATAACAGTGACAAGAACTGGAAGCAGAGAGATACAGAAATTATGAGTGAATTTATCACATTCAGTATTTACTGGTGACAGGCATGTACTCCCAATTCCCAATATAATTAGCACAGTTTTTCTGAACATATTCAGTGATGTCTGGAAAAATCTTGTGGGTTTCCTGAGAGTTATCAAAGCATGTTCTAAAGGATCAAGTCTATGGAGCAAAACCAGTCTCTTTTTTAGTTGCCCTTGTTGTCAATCAAACATATGTGTGTGTGTGTGTGTGTGTGTGCGCATGCGCGCGCGCTGCCATTCAGGACAGGGAACACCTCAAGATGACACATAACGATAACATGCATAAAATAAAATTCAAACTAGAACTGCAATTGTAAAAGCATTGAGTGTTCCACAAAACAACCAATTCCTGCATTGGGCAGAAACCTATAACATAATTCCAGCTATAACACAGTCTGAAAGCCAGTATACAACAACTTAATCCAGAAGTGTGATGGAGCCACTGTGGAAAAGGCCTTTTTCATATATTTGCCTACCCAACTGCTTTCACCAATGGGCAAGTATAAAGGGACACTCTTCCTGATTAAGTTGAAGGTAGGCTGATACTTGCTGTTGCAAGCTGACAGAAAATATTGCCTAGTGAGGTAAGAGGCCCTCTTGATCTCATACTAAAGACCCACAAGCTCAGTAGCAAGTTTTGCCACTGTAGTGCAAGGCAGCTATAGTTTCTAATTCTTTCTATCCCAATTCATTGAATCCCATAATATTGGAAACTGTTAATTTCACTGGAAATAACAAGCCTTTATCAAGGCCATTATGTTGGTTGGATGGTGTAAATTGGTGACCTGAAGGCCTTCTTGGCCCCTTCCAATCCTACTTTTCTATGATTCGATGTTAATGTTACACATTTCATGTATTCTCTAGTTATATTTGCAGATCTTGCAACTGCTGTTGGTACATTGCTCATACATCTTCCATAGACCATCTTCCATAGGCCTTTAGCTGCTTCATTACCCTTAAGGATGCACTGTATATGGTAGACTCAAAGTTCTTTGTATGCAGCTTATTATCAGGAATGAGTATATAAAGAAAGCTTTTCTGTGGGGCGGGGATGAATATGCCACCTCGAAAATCATAGCTTCTGATTCACATTGTTCAGAACAATATCTTCAACAAAAGAAGAGTCTCTTAAGTGCCATTACTCTCAGTGTGAGAGAATTAAATGTAGGTTTTCTCTGATTGGTTTCCATCCACGGATAGAAGGTTATTTCATCTTGCAGAGGCTCCTCTCAGCAGAACGGGTTGGACAGCTAAACATTGCTAGACAAGATGCAATGCTTCATCAAACAAGAGAGGATACCAATGTTCATATGCTAATAAATAAATATACATATAAATCTACCATATAAACTGAAACACTCTACATCTCACTATAGTAGAGAAGACAATAAGCAGATGAATTGCAGGGATGTCAGAAAAACTGCAACAGATTCTACTGAGTCCTAATTACTATGAATCTAACCTAGCATTGCTTATTCACAGATCACATACACTTGTAGATCTTGAAAAAATGGGGGAGGGTTTTTGCATAAATTTGCATTAGTACACATGCTCATCAGTGCAAATAAAATCAGAATTAATATGCATTTGTACAAGTGGAACATAATCTCTCATACATCATGAAAGATTCTGATTCCATCAATGTGAAGAATGAAAGACACCTGATAATCCATAAAAGAGAAACAGAATGGATTTTACAGATCTGTATATATCTCTGTGTATCTGGTCAGTCTGCTTCCCAGATATTGCCTGTTGATGGGTAACTTCAAAGCCCATCTTCTTCCTTACAATTCTTGATCATACAGCTGAGAGGTATATATATAGCCACCTTCATGGGGACAAGGAAGAGAGCACTTGACAATTCCTTTCTACTCCTGCAGTCCCCGTCCATGTAATCTCCCACCTTGTTTTGTAGGATTCTCCAAACCTCAATAACTGATGGAAGGGGCAAAGATATTGTGGAGGGACAGCGGAGAAATCAACCAACTACTTCTCCCTCCATATTCCACTAATACCTCCACTGGATCTAAGCTCCATGGGACCATAAAGCCTTCTCCTGATGGAAGGACTCTGATGGGATAAAAATCCATATGCTTAAAGTAACACAGCATGGTTAACTTTCATGGGATTTCACCCAAAATCTTTAGAAGTGCTTAACTGATTAATGAGACAGAAAACAGAGCAATGTTCATTCTGTTTAATCCTCTTTCATAAAAATGGAATGCCTCTAGACTTTTATGCTAGGGCTGTTTGAAATGTTAGGAGGTTTGCAAGATTAGCTGAGTAGCCAAGGAGCTGATTTTCCACTCGAATACTGTTTTTGATCTCTTTTTATCCCACAGTAGGTAAACTGTGGATAAAAGAAGAGCAGGGATCTACTTAAGTTAGCTGAATGCCTTTATCTCTGGTTGTTTTTTATTACACTACTGTCCAAATGTATTTATAGCATGTTTTTGCCTGCCCTTCAGCAAAACAAGATACCCAAGCTGGTTTACAAAGAGGTTTCTTAAGACATGTGGTGTGTGTGTGTTTCTGTGCCTGTGTGTGTACCACTGGAGAGAGGAAGGGGAGAAGGCCAAATCTGGGGCTGGGGGGATTCTCCACCTCATTCAGCTACCTTAGTCTTCATGCTTACCAGTTATATGGCAAAAGAACAGCACTGATGTTTTCCCCTCACAATCACTTCAGGTTTGCTCAGACTGTACTGCTAGTTCTTGCAGTTCCACAGAATCCCTTGAATGTCTGGCAGTATTGCTAGCAGGATGCAAGAATGAATGAGACCAACTATGGGGCATCATACATGCCTGAGTCATGTCTGATTTGCTACCCGGCACAACCAGGTCACATAGTCCAAGGCCAAGGCCTCTGGGTTGCTGTTCAGTTGAAGGCATTGTTGGCAGGAACTTCTGCTCTGAGAGTCAACTACTTATTACAACACCACTTGCATAGCAATGTTCTTTCTTCTTGCTCTACAGTAAGTTCATACAACCCTAGTTTGGCCTGGGAGCACATTAGTTTGGGAGAAGAGAATTAAGCTTTCCTCTCCAAAATGTCCCTGCACTGGGGTGGGTGGTAGTTAACAAAACAAAGATGTCTCCTTTAGCATCAATGGATCTTAACTCCCTATGCATTGAGAGAAGAGAGAGGAACAGTTCAGCAATAGGCTTTACGATTAGTGTACCATGTCATTTGACTGAACATCCCATTCACCAAGTGCTACCACGAGGAAACCATCCATCAAGCTGGCAGAAATAAAGTTGACAAACAAAGCATTATCGAAGAGAGCATATGCAAAACTTCAGCCTACTAGCTCACATCTGGTCTAAATCTCCTTGGTCTAATTCAAACCTTTCTGTTAGAAAATTTGTAGTCTCTTTTTCATTGCATATCCATCTGAAGTCAAACCAACACTGCTTAGAGTACATATCTGAGAACTAGAGAGTTTTGAAACAACTTTGGTGGAGGCAGCTAGAGAATTAATGAGTTCTACAGAAAAAGCTACAGGAGTGTAAAGACAAAAAGTGTGATCACACCACTTGATTTGTGTTTTACCTGCCACTCAAAAAACAGGGTATTATTAGTTTATCTGACTTTACTGACATATTTGGAGGCACTCCAAGGATGGCAGAACGAAGGGAGGGAGGAGGAAAAAGAGTAAGGATTCCACCTGGAAAAAATATTCCAATGAGTACTGAGAAGAATTCAAGAAAATGCAATGGTGGCCAGTGTAGTATAATGGGTAGTGTTGGACCCATTATACTACAAGTGTTCTGGGTTCAAAAAGTGTAACTTTGTGCCAAGCTCAGCTTAATCTCAGCCTAAGCTACTTCAGAGGGTTATAGTGAGGATAGAATTGAGAAGAAGAGGTGGGTTATGGAAGCTGACTTGAATTCCTTTAAGGAAAAATGGTGGGATATAAATATAATAAATAATAAAATCATAATGACTTATGGAAAATTAAAGAGAAGCAAAGGAGAGAATGGTAATTCCCTCACTGGAAAGAACAGTTTACTGAAACCCTGGGCTCTGTCTTGGAAAAGAAGGTACATGGGCCAAGGAAAGCTCAATAAATTTTAACTAATAAATGTATCAAATGAAAATGCCAGTAAAAAGCTTCAGAAAGTGCAGGGAGACAAAGGAATTCTTGATATTTTAAGATCGTTTTTAACTCAAATCCATAGTTGTGAATAAAAGGGCTTACATTCCAGTTACAGCCAAGAGATTTACAGCTTTGTTCTGCTGCATCTGGGGCAGGATGGCAATCAAATTTGTCGATATCTCTTAACAGCTGATTCCAGGATATTTTATGATCTTCTCCCAGTTTAAGCTGAAGACCTGTAATATGGGCAACCTGTGAACATTAAATAAAAGCTAAATCGAACCACACTTCTGTAAAACTTAGAAGAAATTCAAAATTCAAAATCAACATGTGATACATTTTATGATTAAAGTCATATAAATGTTTTGCTGGTTTTTTATTTTTCAGTTTTTATACAAACCACCCTGCTTATTTAAATGAAGAATGGTAAATAAATATCTATACTAAATAAAAAATATGAACACCCCTTTAAAAGCTATATTATATTTTGCCAGGTACTGCTTCTGCATATTTGAAATGGATAGGGAAGGATTTTACAAAGTATACAAGGCAGGACCTTTCCTGAATGGCATTAAGAGATGAAATTCAACAGAGACTGGGTTATGCATGGGTTGAATTTGGCTTGTTGTTGAACTGTGCATTCTTGTTGAAATAGAGGTTATCATGTTGTCTGAACCCAGCTGAGATGTCATGGACAGCGCCCCACACAACTTAACAGCAAAATGTGAGTCCTTTATGTGGGTTGCTTGTGCTCAGTAAGTCAAAGCTTGTTAGAGCAGCTTGGGATCAGAAAACCCAGTAACCCATGATTCAGCAACAATGCATATTTAAACAAGAATCCACAATCAACCCATACTCAATCCTTAAATGTGATATATGTTGTCTGAACCCCATCAGGGAAGGACACCACTAGCAAGTCATTTGAAGGATCAGATTCAAGATGCAATGAGGACACAGAGCAGGTTCCATTATTGTGTTTTCCCTGCCTCCAGGTATTTAGGAGAACAGCTGCAGAGCTGATGTGGTGTATTTTTTAGAATATTGGATTCAGGAGATCTCCGTTCAGGTCTATGCTTGGCCATGATGCTCGGGTAACTTTGGGCCACCATTGATTCTCAAGCTAACCTATCTTACAAGCTTGTTGTGAGGATAATTATGGGAGAAAATTGATAATAAATAAATAAAAATTAATGAATGAAGAAGTAATGTAAGGCTCTTTGACCTTCTTGGAAAAAAGAAGATGCAATATAAGTTTATTTTTTTAAAAATCAACCAGCATGACCAAGTGACCTAATGAGAGGTTTAGTGTAAAAGTAGTAGTTTTGGGAAGAATGCAATGGAATGTATTCTGTGTCCTGATTCTGGACAGTATCCAATGTTGTCCCCACACTAAGAGGCAACATTGCAGAATAGGGTGGTAGCTGTTCAGCAGATGTCCTGCTGATTTTCTGGTGGGCTCTGCAGGTGCAAGAGAAGGAATGTAGGCTAAAGATCAGTTCTGGATAGTGCCCATTATCATCTGCAGTATGTGAGGTATATGAAACAAGGATCACTTCCAAGAACTTATGAAAACATTCAGCAACATTTACCTTATCTGGACCACTGTAGCTAATAGTGATAGGATATGTTTGAGCCACATCGTTTGAGATCACTTTCACTTCTGTTGGCTGAAGAGGTAATCCAAGGATTTTGATTTCCTGAAATTCTAAATTATTTGGGTCTTTGTAGTTGTTGTGTGTCACAGTCATAGTTAAGACATTCTGGAACATAACAAGGTGCACAAACAATATCGTTACAGAAATCATTTGATGTGTTTTACACATCTCTTCAGATTTGTTTTACAATTTCTCTTCAAATGATAGTCCACTAAATTAAATACAAATGTTAACTTGCATTTTACAAGATGAAACCATTCACCTCCTTTGCAAAAGAAAAGTAAACTGCATTTTTTCCTTTGTGAAATCCAACTATTGCACAATAATTACTCAGTCACAGTAAGTAATTCCAGAAGCTCAAATCAGAGTTCTTATTCATACAGAGAGTTCCCCAGAGCGAGAGCACTCTGTTGTTTTGACCAGCTCCCTCTGCAAGTTGAGGGCAACAAATGTGATGGGGCAGAAGGGCAGGACAGTAGTCCTTCTTTTCTTCCCAAACTGCCCTGCTCAGGTTTCATATGTTCCAGTTGCATGTTCAACTCAGTTATGAAGCTCACTGTATGATTGGTTCAGACTTTGACTCTCAGTCTAACCTGTCTCACGGGGCTATAATGAGGATGACCTAGAGAAGAAAAGGACAATTATTTAAGCTGACTCAGGCTCCTTGATGGAATAAACATAATAAAGAAATAAATCTAGTTTCCCACTGATCGCAAGGACTCAGGACTAAGCAATATGGCACCTTAAGTGGGCAGCATCTGGTTTTTCTCTCCTTTTTTTTTTTTTTTTTGTCTAAGCATGTAGTGCCCAGTTTCAGATCAAGACCATCATGCACAGGATGGATGGGAGGGAGGGATTAAATAGTCGAAAGAGCCTTTAGGCTATTGGGTGATATACCGTCCCTTTTCTTTAAATGAATGTTCCCCCCATGTTTCAATGAGTTCTTTTCCCCCTCAACACAACAAGAATTTCCCTCACACCACTGAAAGAACATTAAAGTAAAAAGAGGCATGTCCATTGGGTATGTCTGCAGAAGTTAAACCACTCCTTAAAGTGCTGGCAAGGTTTTTGCTAAAGTTGTTATTCAATAGAAGACAAAAGCAGAAGCAGAAGCAAGAATGGAAGGAAGGAAGGATGGAAGGAAGGAAGGACAGAAGGAAGGAAGGAATTTGTCTCCTTCCTTCTTGGGTTTTAGAAGTTCTAGAAACAAAGCAATCCTCTTCAACCCTTCCAGGTGTTCTGCAGTTCATCTTACATCAGTTCAACCATCAGCTCAGCTCTGGTCAATAGCCAGAAATGCTGAGTTGTAGTTGAGATCCACTGGAGAGCTCCGAGTTGGACAAAGCCTGGAGTAAAGTACTAATTAGACTAAGAGGAGTAGTCCAGAGTAAGAAAACAATGCATTTTACTATTGGACAATGCCATCCATTTCTCACACATCTAAACTTAACAATAAATACTTCCTGGGGAGGAGACAATGTGACCTCAGACTCCATTGGGGCCCAGCCCTTCTCACTGCAGACATGAAGATCTGTATTATGCTCAGGGGCATGAGTCTAAGAGAAATCAGGAAGGGGGAAATCAACAAAATCAGCAACAACAAAATTTGAAAATACAGCCAGCATCATTTCTTTCTTCCATGACATCAAGAATGCTGAGAGCACAGGAAGAGTTTAGCCCCATTCAATGTTTTCCCTGAATTCAAATTCTAGAGCATCATGGGATACAGAAGAACTAGGTTTCCTATGACTTAATGCAAGGCAGCTCAAGAATTTGGGACAGCTGGGCTAAGAAAAGAGAGGGCAAGAAAAGAAAAAGCAACTTACAAAGGCAACCAGGAAGAATTCTCTTGCTCCCATGTTGGCAAGAATGCAGACAGCCAAGAGATACATACAACCTTCTGCCAAATACCTTGTAAGTGCTGTTAATTGTTAATCCCACGAAAGAGAGGTGGGAGGAGATTGAGGGAGAAAAAAAAATCTAGAAATCTCACAATATATACAAAGCAGTGTTTGGAGGACAGAACATCCAAAATTAAAAGCCTTTGAACATTAGGAATAAAAACCCAAAAATTGACTTTAAAAGTCTATGCATGAAGTCTACACATTTATCTTTAGAAATGACATAAAGCCCATGAATCTATAGGTGAAAGGCTTGATAATCATAAAGGCAACAAAAATGTGAATCTTATGTAAAACAAACAAACAAAAGCAACAAAAAAGTTAAGAGACAAAACACAAAGAAATGGGACAACTGATAACAACAGCCCTATTTAGATAAGAGGATACAGCAAATGTCTGAGAAGGAGGGTATCCTTCATCTCCCCGGTGATCTGTCTTCCACTAGTTGTCAAAGATGACAGTCTAAAGAGAGACCCACACTGAATCTGTGCAGGATCTCAACATGAAGAGTGGGCAATCAAGGTTCTAGCTTGCTTGGAGAACCTCCACCAGGAACCTCTTTCCTTCTGCCTGTGACCCTCCAAAAGTGGAGGGAATCAAATACAGCAAGGAGAGGAAGGGCCTAGAGGAAATTTCATCCAAATCTGTTTGCTTGATCCACCTCTATAAAACTAGGGCTAATACTTGTTACATGTATATGATTCATATTTTAAGCGTACAATAGGATGTTTGGTGTTGTTTATGTTGTGAATTTTCTACCTATTCTTCTGGTGTTTAAAGCTTCTGATTAACAAATTAAAATGTTTCACATATTTTCATTTTGCTAACATAATTAGAACAATTTGTTTAATACTATCTTGTGCAAGGAAATATCTATTTTGGTTTTGATCTTTCTCATTTCCTATTATACCACTTTTCATAAGTTTTGTATATACTTTCCCAGCTTCCAAAAATATGTTGTGCAAATACATATTTTTTCTTTTCTTTTTTCCCAGGCCATAGGAGTTACAAAAATGAGATGGACTGACTTCATGAAGCAAACCACAGCCCTGAATCTGCAAAGCTGAGCGGGGTTGTTATGGAAGGGAAATTTTGGAGGGCTTTCATTCATAAGGTCACCATAACTTGGAGATGGCTTGATAGCACATAACAAGTTTCTACCTCTTTCCCCACCTCCTATATTTGACGTGCTGATCTTATCTATAAATTTGTTGGTACAATGACCTAGTCATTGTCTCTGTGACCAAAGTATTGTTCGGATTTGCAGATCTAAGTGGGAGACAGTGCTGTTTACCCCAAGTTCAGACTTGGCAATCTAAGTCCCAGTGTCCCAGGCATTCACAGCTAGCACAGACCAGTAAGTACCCCCTCAGTAAGTTTCAGGGGTCCATTTAGTGCATACTGGGGAAGACAGCTTCAAGCTTCAAGTCAATTTTTGGTTTATTTCTTAATCCTGGCCTAGAAAGGCCCCAGTCCACTTTTCTTTTGGCATAATTTATGAAAGGTAGGAGAGCTCTGCACCCAGTATATTATTGAAAGTGAACCTAATAATTTTGGGCAATTGAAGTGAAAAGAAGCCCAGCAAACAGATGAGCTTTCTCTTTCTTGGAACATATCACATTCAGCAAGTCTGCTGCTCGCAGAAAAGAAAGAGGTCACGGGAAATAGTAAAGCCATAGAAGTTCAAACATCTTTCTACAGGTGAAAAGCAAAACAAACAGGAGACCCAGCTAGTGGAGGCAAGGCGGAAAAGATTGATTTTGGTAATTGGGCCTGATAAACAAGCAGGCTTGACAGAAAGATTCAACCAAAAAGATTCAGTTGCCAACTCAGACCAACCCTTGCTATATATCTGCCTGTCTATGAAAGATAAGCATTTGATTCAGAGGAAAGCAAAGCCCAACCAGCATCAGGCCACCTCAGTCTAGTTGGGATGTGAGGCAATGTAAGCATCCATTTAAAGCCAATGGAACAGAAGCTATGAATATAGAAGGAATTCAAAGTGAGGGGGCACAGAAATCCAATGAATGTTCTTGATTCAGCCCTACACATTAATGCATTCTGTCAATCTGTGTTAGTACTGACTTGATCTGGCACAGGCTGAGCTACCATGTGGACTTCTGTTTTTTTAATTTTTAAAAATGTACCAATATGGGTCTTTACTCTGCAACTGGTGGAAATTTGTGAGATTTGCATAAATTTTCTGAAATTGCATAAATTCTGCAAATATGCACAGATAGCACAGTAGAGGACCAAATTTACCATCAAACTTAAATTGACAGAAAATTCAAGGTGGTCAAGGTGGAATGAGCTGAAAAGGGGAAGCTTCCATACTTCTCATGCTAAATTCTGCAGCGAGTACAGCAACAGCTGAAATCTAACATGTCAGTCTTGTTTATACAATTTGTGCAGATTTGTAGCTCCAAATTTGCACAAATATTTCAAGCAATTTCGCAGAAGCTGAGCTTTAGCTGTTGGGTCAGAAATGTGTTGAAAGTCCATCAGACATTTTGGTGGGTATCAAAGCATGCTGGGAAGAGGCTGTCGATACTAGCTATGTATGCTATCAAAATTGTCACTGCCAAAGGGTGCAACTGTATGTCTGCTTATACAGAAAAAACTCCTCTAAATGTGGTGTAGTGGTTACAGTATTGGACTGGGATTCTGGAGATCTGGGTTCTAGTTTTAACCCAGCCATAGAGCAGACTTTGAGCCAGCAACAGACTGTCATGGGGCTGACAGAGTGAGGATATAATGGAGAAGAGGACAACCTTGTAAGCCCCCTTAGGATCCTTGTGATACAAAGAAAGATGGGATATAAATATAGTGTAATAGTAATGCATCTTGAAGTATCGTCCAGGCAGCAAGGAGCAGAACAATTATGGTACAGTCTCCAAGCACAACTGAAAGAGCTGGAAATAGAGGACATTGAACTTACCTGAAGGAGCGCTTACATCCTTATATGCCCAGCCGCCCCCTGAGATCGGCGGGAGAGGCCCTTCTCCGGGAGCCCTCCATGGAAGAAGTTAGGAGGGTGGTTACTCGGAGGAGGGCTTTCTCAGCGGTGGCGCCTAAGTTATGGAATGCGCTCCCCAGAGAGGTCCGCCTGGCGCCGTCGTTATTTGTTTTTCGGCGCCAGGCAAAGACCTTTTTATTTAAGCAGTATTTTAAATGTTAATATTATTGAATTTTATTTGGCCAGGGCGGCTTGTTTTATAGTGTATATTTGTATTTTATTGTATATATTTTAAAATGTTATTTTAAATTTTTTGTTGTAAGCCGCCCCGAGGCTTCGGCGAATGGGGCGGCATAAAAATGTTTTAATAAATAAATAAATAAATAAATAAACTTTCAACCTTACTAGAAGCTGTAGCCACTGTCATCTGTCATCTCCCACACATGGTGTTTGTTCAGCTTTTCTGGACTTTGCAGTCTCACCTTATGCACCTTCATGTAGAACACATTCAGAGCATGCATGTTTATTTAAGCAAGAAACAAGCCAATTACAGGGAATGTTTCCCACTTCATTTTGATTGAGTGATTTTGTTGCAAGATAAGCTGCAACACAAGCAGTGGGGACAGTCAGGAAGTGAAAAATCCAGGTACATGTGACAAGAACTATGAACTAGGGGCTAGGGGGAATACTGGGATTTGTAGCGAAAAGAGACCCCAATTGTGGGCTACTGTAGAGGCATATACATTGAAATAATAAATAAATAAAGTAAGTAGTGGAAATTAGGAAATGGGGAAAAATCAAAGGTAGGGAAGGGAGGTAGGGAAGGGGGGGAAAGAAAACTAAGCAGTGAGATTCAGGATGGGGAAGAAGGAGGAAAGCAGTAGAAAGAAATTCTCATGGAGAGCTTCTGTAAAGGAAGTCCTCTTCCTCATTCTCCATATGTCCAATGTAAAAGAAATGCACAAGCAGGATTGGGGTAGGGCTGAAGGAATCCGATTGTGGATTCTTTCCTTGGTTCCAGACACCATGGAAGACTCTTTGGCATCTCTTTGTTCAGGGTGGGAACTCTAGGTTCAGGAAAAAGGGGGAGCAGAAGAAAGGGACATGCCAGTAGCTGAGCTGAGGAAGAGGAAGGAGAGACCAAGGATCTAAAAAATTCAAAGACCCCTCTGAAGTCTCATTCCAGAGACAGGCAGCAGGCATCAGAGGCCTGTTTAGCAGGAGTTTTTGCAAAGGAAGAGCAAAGGGATGCTATAAATCCCCCTCCCCTAGATGACAATCACCAGCAGGGCATTTATGGGCAGAGGGCTCCAGGAACAGAGCTCTTTGTCCATTCAGTGATCTCCAATTCTGACATCCTCTTTCTTAAGAATTCAAACATTTAGAGCTACAATAGATTTCTTTAGATAGATAATGCAGCAATTTGACTGGCAATTCACCACTATCTTTACCATTATCATGGATTTAAACCTATTTTTACCATCTTTCTCCATCTAAAACAGGTTCATCCAAATAGACTTACAAGGCAGCTCAAGAGATAATTAAATACTAAAATGTAATTTCAGAGTAAAAATAAAGCAGCACAGAGCAGCACTTCAACAGAAACTCAAAATGCAACTAACACAAAACAACAAGAGTACAAAAACAAATACAGCAGAATCTACAGACCTACAGTTCTAATGATTAGCAATGTGACATGTTAGTAGAAAAGTTACATATTTCTTTTTCCTTTTAGTTCTAGAAGAAGCACATTGCAAAACAAAATGAATAGGTATGTACTGAAAATGAATTTAAACTGGAAAATCCCCCACATTCCTAATCCTGCCTCAAGAAAGATTTCTGGTTCATAATATGAGTGTATTAGGATGCAACCATCACACATTTACCTGGACATAAGTCCCACTGAACTCAATATGATTGACTCCTCAGTTGATGTACTGAACTGTTGGCTTTGTTGGCATCTCCTGATAGTAAAGACTGGCACTGCATATTAATTGCCATAAGCTGTTAGCTAACAAGTATTGTCTAATATGAAATACCATTTCATGTCTTATTCTGTCAAATAGTAATGCCACTGCATGTCAACTGCTAAATGTCAGCTAGTAAAAATACTGCATGGTAAACAATAGAGTATGAAATGGAATGTTGTATCAGACATGAAATTCTATCAAGCACTAATTATTGTTCAACTACCAGGCATGGTAAGTTAGTAACAGTCTAATATAAGATAGATACATTTTTAACATTTGACATCAAAATCCCTAGATAATCAGCCAGCAGACAATTTTGAGGAGCAATTATTTAATCTCCAGTGCTAATGAAAATATACTCACATTGGAGACATTGAAGTGATATAGGAGGTAGGATTTCTTTATCACTGTGTCTAAAAGTGTGAAGGAAAAGGTAAATTTTTAATCAGCATCTTATAAGGCAAAGATTTATTAAATGAAAATAATTGAAACACTAGCTAAATGACATTGCAGAACTGGCCTTTTATGCATACCAAATATTTTATCAACTTTTCAAAATCCTCATTTCCTTTCAGAACTAAAGAACAGAACCAAAGCAGACTCCATGGTCTGTGCCATTCACCAGGGTGCTTCAGGCCATAAATAACTCTCTCTCTCTCTTTCTCTCTCTTGCTCACACACACATGCACACACAAAGTTGGCAATGCTAGATATACAAATATTCCAACAGAACTAGAGTATTTATCTATCAATTTACCTTCTTATATCACTCAATATGATAACACTTTTCATTTCTTTTTAAAAATACCAAAAGAGGTGACAATATCAAATCATAACAGAACTAAAAATCATAAATAGAAATAACAATAAAACCCCTAAATGGACCAAACACCTAAATTTCTCATTAAAATAAACAAGACTGGCAATAAGAGAAGTTAGGAAAATGCCTGGACACACAAGCATATCTTTACTTGTCATCTGAAACACCCCATGCTAGGAAGCTGCCTGATTTGTACGGACAGATCATTCTGCAAAGAAAGCCATGATGATGGTCTTCTTTCACACCATGATCAAATGACTCCCACTCTGACAATAGAAATCAGAGCATCGTATATATTGGTGCCTTCCCCAGTAGGTATGTGAGTCTGTGACGATGCTCCATCTACCCTGTTCTACTTACGCTGGAAAAAATTCCCCCCGTCCTGTGTGGTATGACCTGGCGGAGCTAAGGATAGTGCAATAGGTCAAGCACACCAGACCCTGGGGAGTCCCACTCAGGATTGCTCCACAAGGGGACCATCCAACAACGCTGCCTCTGAATTTGGAGGATTATGGGCATCCTATGCATGGCAAAATAAGCACAGAGACTGGTTTTGACTTCCATGTGTAGCACCTCAGAGACAAAAGAGAAAAGGTTGAGCTGCAGGCAGGATAGTATATCCTCTCCTCCCTATCCCCTTCCCACCCCTAATCCCATCTCTGGGGTTCCCCTTGCAACCTTGGAGCTGCAGCTGGTGTAGTCTTGTCCATGTCAGCTCCAAGAGTCAGGGGTAGCACTCTTGCTTTGAAGTCCTAGCTTTAACTAACTTTAGAGCAAGTTTGTGAGGTTGCAGGTGGAGCCCTGGATTACCCTGCATATGGACTGCTCTGTAAGATATTTAATGTGCAGTATGAACATAGACATTGCAGACATAGCATTGCAGTATGAGTATGAGTACAGACATCTCAAGTATTACTATATTTGTGCATTTCTTGTTTGCCTTGTGACTCATATGTTAGGATGCATTAGGTTTGCCAACCCCTGACCTTACTGCTGCAGGTGTTATCTTAACCATTTGCTACATAGCAGTTAAGATACGATTATAGGCTTCTTTATGCTAGCAAAAGCAATACTGCATTATTGCCTCTCATCAGCTGTTCTCAGAGGCACCAGAGGCAGCTAAGGCATTTTTTCTGGTCAGTTGGCAACCCTATGTTTGACATCAACAAAAAAGCAACCGTTGCTCTGAGAAAGAGAAAAACAGAGGGAAAGTGTACACTCTGACATTTTAGTATTCTTAGTTTATGCAAGAAATTCATTGCACTTGTGACATTTTACTCCCACTCTCATATTCTCAAAAGTTCAAAATTTCAAAACAACATTGTGTTCTAGGGAAAGGAAAGCTTAATATACATGTCTGTCAAAGGCATACATTATGCTCGGAGTAAGATTGCCATTTCAGTCCCAGAGAACTGAAGTTTTCAAGCAGATGGCACTTTTCCTGTTAAGGAGTGAGTGCGTGCGTCTGAACAATACAAGAACTGAAACACTGTGGAAATATTACGGACCACATGAACTGCCTCCATTGAGGTGCAAGAACTCAGAGATGGGTAGTTGGTATTTGAACCTTTTTGGAGCTCTTAGCTAAGTTTATTTTAAGTTTCAACACCGAGTTGAGATCTGAGTGCTCTGGGAGGAACATTTTCTTTCCTTTTTTTCTGATTCATAACTTCTAGGTGGCACTGTGGTATAGTGGAATAGTGCTAATACACAAGAGTAAATCACACTTTTTCATTTTCAAGACACTATTCTATAGCCTCCAGATATTGTTGTGCGGGAAATGCACAGGATTATTCAGAGCCCCACATCTGCAATCCTGCAACCTTGCCGCTGGGACTTGGAGGCTGAGCCCCATCACACTGTGCTCTTGGCTTGTGCAGAAACAGTCCAGGGTTCTTTTACACTGAAACCCACAGATTCCAATGTAAGTTACTCCATGAGCATGTAAAAGAATACAATCTTAAATTATTATTGCAGCCTTGGAAGGTTATGTATGATGAAGCTAATGCACATTTGTTTGGTTTTTAATAACAGGAGGACCTGAATTTCAAAGACAAGATGTGCAAATATATTATAAAATTGTTTTGAATGAGAAATGAGGGTGGGGAAAGCACCAAAAAGGATGTTCTACATATTATTTATTATTTATTTATTAAAACATTTCTATGCCGCCCCATTCGCCAAAGCCTCGGGGCGGCTCACAACATATTACCACTATTATTATACATAACATGAATGGGTTTACCTCTGCTTTCACCATCATCCCAAAATAAGTCTCCAGTTGCTGTTTCATTATCATCCAAGGCAATTATAAGTCCCATAGGTTTTAGACGGCTGTTAAAGAAACAACATACAGGGCTGTATTTGGGGGTGCATCTGATATAAAAGTTACAATTTAGCAAGTTATGAGGATAGCTATATTGATTACTATTGTCATTCAGTCAATAGATAGAATAAGTTTCAGAGTTTAATGGGAAAGGACACATTTGCCAGTTTTCCTTCTACCACATCAGCAACTTTTTAATTGTCTTTCAACTGGATCTGTGAAGACTTTTGTAAATTTTGGTTAGTACTTATCAAAATAGAACTCAGCTTAGCCATGTGTTCTGACCAGGTTTAATAGGTTCAGCTGTTCACAGTATTGAAAGGATCATATTGTACCTGCATGCCAAGTAGCTGTTGAAGATGAAGAACATATCAGAAAAAAGGTGCCATCCCTAATTAGATGCTGCAATCATGGTTGAATGCTCAGGGATTTAAAGTCAGATTTTTAAGAGCTAAGTTCTCAAAAACCTGGATAGGAAAGCTGTCTGTTTCCATTTCTATCATGTTCACTTTCCAAAAAAAAAAAAAAAAAGCCTCAAGTTATTTTCATCAACTTTACGAATATATTAGTGGATCTTAGAACTCTTTTTTTTTCCCATGGATCCCTCCCATCTGGTGCCATTGTTAGAATGAGAATGCAATTACAGATCCAACATAGATTTTATATATATATATATAAAATATTAAAAGTTTTAAACTAACACTAATAAAAACATCAAATATCACATACATCGGATTCACTGGGTCAACCCCCTACTACATACACACACACACACACACATTTTTTAAACATTGTAAAATCAAATTCAAATTACGCCAAGTCCCGTTTCTCCAGCCAATTATAGAAAGAGTCCCAAGTTTGATAGAAGTCAGTATCCTCTTTCTCCTTCAATGATAAAACAGATCCACCGTAGATTTTGAATGCATATATAAAATATAAATTAATCATCATAGGCATTGATAGCATCCATGATGAGAATAAAATCTAATATATAGGCATCCTGTATTCATGCTAATGGTACAAATTTATTCAGTTGTTCTTGGATTATGATGAGGTAACTGAGGACATGTGGGTTCATGATGGAATGCATGAGAATGGGAATGTGAGTGAGTGCGAGTGAGTGAGAATGCAGTGAGAATACAGAACCTCATATTTGGAGACTTAGGCAGCAAAATGGATGCACAGCCCTTTAGCCACTAGATAGCATCTTGTCCGACTCAGAGAACCATTGTGACAGCAAAACTGGGGCTCTGAGCTTTGAGCTCCTTCCCACCTCTTTCTTCCCACCTTCTCAGAGCAAGCAGGAGAAGAATTTCCAGGGATGGAGAGGAATCAGAAATGAGAGAAGCCCGGCACCATCAAGATATGAGGTATCCAAGCTAGGGTTGCAAAAACCAGGTTGCGCTCCAACTCCCTTGCGCTCTGTGGACTTCTTTCCCATTCTTGACAGGAAGTGAACCAAGTTGAGATCAAGCCCAGGAACACTCAAGATTGCTAGTGACTTATAGTTCAAAATATGCACAGTATGAGACTCTGAAACTGTAAAGTTAGGTACGTTCACATTAAAATGAGAACTGAGCTGACTTCCCCACCACCTCCATAGTCTACCCTCAAAGAAGACAAAGAAGATTGACATGGAAAAGGTCAATTAAGGGTGGTTAAGAATCAGTATGAATCAAAAGCTTTGGGAATAGAAGATGCTCCCAATCTGATCTTTGGAAGGTACCTGTAAACTGTTGTGTTGGCTGGTTGCTGAGTAGGAAAGATATAACCCCCTCTGAGATGAAGTCCTATTTTGTCTGCTGGGAGGTACATCTGACACTCTCTTTTCCTACAGGGTGCTGCTATACCCTAATGTATAAGAATGAGAAGGAGGAGGTAGATATTTACAATGTCCATAAAATATCAAATTACAAGTTGTTCCAGACAAGAGAGGTGCATCTTTCCCATTCTCTATAAATCAAATGGTTATGGCAGGGCAAAAAACCTTACACCTTAATTTGTTGGTGCCACCCGACACAGAAAATAAAACACAATTCCATAAACGAATTCACTTGCAAGGAAGCCATCATCCTTAGAAGGCTTTGTTTTATACTAAATACTGCAAAGGAATGGTTCTATCTATCCCAAGGAAGTGTGTAAGCAGCGTGATTCAGAGTGAACTCCTACGGCCACCCAACATCATTTGGGAGGCCAAAGGATTCTTCCCAGTTCTGTAGCCCTATGACCTTGGATGTGAGATTCCAACAGTCAGACTTCTGTCCCACACACTTGAAGCCAATGCAGAAAGAACAATGCTAGCTTCCACCATCCTCACATTGTAAAAAGGAACGTGCTGCTGGGGGGCAAGGTGGGGAGGATGGGAGAAGGCTCGTGCCATTGACTTATGTTTCTTCTTCAGCACTAAACTGAAATGTTCAAAAATGTCTGCCTAGAGAAATTACCTGGCACAAAGCCTGATTCCCAGCATAGGATGCATAATAAGCCTCTGAGACTTTTGCGCATCTGTCACAGGAGTGATAGAAAAGCACCCAAAGGGTCTGATCCTATGGACATTTACCTGCAAGCGAACCCCAGTGAGAAACAGTAGAACTTATTTCTCAGCAAGAATGGCAAGATCTGCAGGAGCATGCTTTCTGTTAGAATACAGAATGCTAAAAGGAGCTCTAAGGACCAAATTTAGCTATGTGATAAAAATGATGGCTAGCCATACGGCAATCTCTAGAAGACAGTGCTTAATTTAAACTAGAACACAATGACACTTATATGGAACATTTTGCTATAGTAATGTACTTACTGTCTCATAGTCATACCAAACAGCATCAGGCATGTATGCAGTGACTGTATTCACACCCTGAAATTTAAACAAGCAAGCATTTCATTTGTCCTGCAATATCAAAGGGGGGCGTATTATAGGAAATGGATAGGAGATGGTTTCTTTACGTAATAAAAAGGATGGGGATGGGGATGGTGATGAAAGGGATTTACTTTAACATTTGCTGAAAGCCAATTCAGTCCTCAATATGAAAGGGAACTTGGCAAAAGCACAATAGGGTCTCCATTTGTTCCACTGTGACTGGCGTGTAGGAGAACTTCCCAGTGATCATTGCTCCTGCAGCACTGGACCTGAGAGCTACTTGTCTCTAGGCGGGGATCATCTAGAATTGGGTGAATGGCTTGAGGAGCAGGGAATGGATGAACATGCTTAGATTATAAAATGTGCACATCTTTCCTCATGTGTGAATCTCCATGAGTGAACCTGGAGATGTGGAAGAATTCTAAAAAAGGTGTCCTCCCTCCCTCCCTCCCTCCCTCCCTCCCTCCCTCCCTCTCTCTCTCTCTCTCTCTCTCTGTAACCCAAAGGCAAACAGAAGGTCATTTTCTTTCAGTTCTTTCTAGAGCTACCCAATTGGTTCTAAATAGTATTAACATAAATTCTGGCTGTTTCAAAATTTCCTGCTGGCTGTTTTCAGTACTACTTCCAATTTTAATAAAATGTCCTGTTGCCTGCTGACCACCTCAGAGGTCTCTAATGGAAAGGAGGAGATACAAATGTTCCCATTATAAATAAACAGATACTTTAAACTCTCTCTTTTCATCTCTCTGGGACATCTTATGCTATGTAATACAGGCCAGGTTACTGTAACCCTGACAGCTTCACAAGGAGCAAATAATTATTGTTTCATTGCACACCCAGAGCAAATGCATGCCTAAGAAATCCTTTCCTTTCCTTTATTACTGCAGCAGGAAGCGAACTGCCACTATCAAATTTCTTTTTGTGGCATCGTGAGGGTTCTCATTCCAGCAGAGAAATTTGCCAGTGGTTGTGGTTTCATTTCAGCTGCACTTTTATCTTCCATTGCCTTCATGTAGCTCAGGATGGTGTACATTGTTTCTATCCATCCCATGTTTAATCACATCAAAACTGTGAAGTCAGTTATGCTGAGATATGGCCATTGGCTCAAAGCCACCCAAACCATCCTAATGGCTGGGTAGAAAGTTGAACCTAAGTCTTCTGGTCCAAATCTAATCTACATCTCAGTCTTGCCTACATCCCACTGTATTCTTCTTGCTCTGTGAACTTCCTTAATAACTTTTTTAAATACACAACAATGAAAAACAATCTGGGACACCTGCATGCTTCCTTTGCTTCTGCCTTCTTGGAAGTGAGTGAACAACAAACCATGAAATCATTAACTACAATTTCTCCTTTCTCTCAATGAGGAATCTTTCATTAATGGCTTCTGGACAAGCCATGATATTAAGACAAATTCCTGGCTTAATCCAAAGCTCCTGACCATAGTTGGGTAACACTGTAGTTCAGTTAAATAGGGACAAGTAACTAGTAATTGTGTTGGTGGTTGCCACCACCAGGGCAAGAATGAAGGGACTGCATATACTGGAACAAGTTTTGTTCATATCATGGCTAAGGTATGATCAAACTGAAGTATGATCATCCAAACATGGACAGCTGAAGTGAAACACCTCATTTAAAAATATGCCATAAAATCATCATAAAGTGGTCAATGATTTTTTCTCTCCTTCATTTCCCACCTTGCAGAGATTTTGCTGTATTCTGAAATAATAGTATTTATTGTGTACTTAATTATATACTGACCAATAGCTGAAGCTGTCAGGGTGGTTTATAACAGTTCCTAAACTGGTCCCTAATATAATCAAAGCCATATTTAAAAAAACAGAGTTTGAAAACATTTCAGACATTTATCAACTAAAACAGTGTTTAATGCCAAATACAGCTGTTTACGCATAGGCATAGGTATACCCATTAGCTATGAGATAACATTAAGGTGTCGTTAAATGCTTCAGCACTGAGGTCTATCTGAATCTGGCAAAGAGAAAATAATGAAGTTATTTGTAATCAGTGTGTAAAACATGCCAAAGTTGAGGAGGGCACCTCTGAACCCCCTCTCCTTCTTGCTGCCCTCTGAGCTTCCCTTGGAAGGAAGTATTGCGGACCTAATCTATGTAGAGCATTGTATGCTAAAACCAGCACCATGAATGGTGTAGAAATAAATGAATGAATCAGGCTCATGAGCACAAAGGCAGTCAATGAAAACAGGCCAGAATTGATGTCATGTGCCCATGCCTTTGGTCCCAGTTATTAGCCTGGTTGCTACATTTTGTACGAGATGCAACTTCTGAAGATTCATATGGGCATGCACTCTTTTAAAGGAACTAATTACAAAGATTTCACTTTAACAGAATGAGACATACTGGATCCAGGACTGGAGTAATAAGCAGACCAGGTCCCCATAAGAACTGTCTGTCGATAGCCCAGGTGGCTTCATCTGAGTAGAATCTAAATCAACAAGACAATATTAGTATTAATTTTGTTGATGTAGAAAACCTTGGGATACACTTCATGTTTTAGGAGCTTTTCTGATGGAATTGGTTCAAAAAATGGAAACACTAAAACTTGGATGCTTACAATAGTATTATATTTCCATAGTGCCCATAACTAAAGCTCTCTGGGCAGTTCACAACATTTAAGTCACCCACCCTGATTTCAACCAGCCTGACCCTGTTTAGTTTCCATGATTAGGCAGGATCAGGCACTTAAGGTATTCAGAATGTATCAGCCTATTCTTCAATTCCATTACAAAATTAAACACATGCTTCTGTACTCGTCATATTTTAAGTATAATATAATTGTAAGGAAATGCAGACAGTTTGTGTCTGTTTAACACCATTCACAAACTGGCATTTCTACTTACAAATTGTCTCTCCCTCTCTGTTTCTCCACACACACATACATGCACATATCACTAGTATCACAATCTTGTTTCATAATTCCATGCAATAAGGCATGGATTTACCATTCACAGCATGCTTTGAATTCATACATTATGCTGATTATTATTTCTACACTACCCAATAGATTTCTGGAAGCTTTACAAGAGCAGCTAAAATACAATATAAAATACAAATAATAACAAAAACATGCTAACAATCACTACACAAAACTGAAAAGCCAAATTTAAAATCCAATTTAAAATGCTACAACAGCTAACTCAAATTAAGTTATAAGACCAGTGAAGCAGCTGTCAGAAAGCCCAATATAATCCTAAAACTGATTAAATGCCCTGTTACATAGGAAAGTCTTGACCTGGATGCTGAGAAGATATTAGAGTTGGTGCCAAGCAGGCCTCAGTGGGGAGCTTGTTTCATAACTAAGGACTTCCCCTAGGAAGACCCTTCTCTTTGTTGACACCAACTTGGTCTCTTTCTGAGTTTCCGATCAGAGATAGGTCCCAGATTTTGATCATAACATCTGAGTAGAGTCTGATTAGAAGAGGCATTCTGTCAGGTATTACACTTTCAAACCATGAAATATTTTATATGTTAAACCCATTCCACTGAATTGGGCTCAGAAACATATAGGCAACTGATATAAGTGGACCAGAATTGATGCCATATAATCTTCTGCTCCCTTTTAATAATCTAGCTTGCACAAGTTGCAATTTCTGAAAAGTCTTCAAGGGAAGCCCCACATAGACTGCAGTAATCTAGTCTACAGATTACCAGACCATAAATTACTGAGCACAGGCTATTCCTGCCCAGATAAAGGTGTAGCTACTGGTCCAGTAGCTGAAGTTGCCATTCTCTGTCATAATGACCTGGGTTTCAAGTTATGAAGATGACTCAAGGATCACCCTCAATCTACAAATTGGTTCCTTTGAAGGAAGTGCAACCACATCCATAACAGGTTTAACACCCTCTATTCTGTCAGAAGAACCAACCTCTAATAGCATTTCAGTCTTGTCTGGACTGAGCTGAATTTATTAGCCCCACTGCAGTCCATTGTCACAGCCAGAAACTGGCTTAGCACATCCACAGCCTCAACTGCTGAAGATGACAAGGAGAAATAGAGCTGCATGTGATCAACATAGTGATGACAGTTCATGCCAGAATTCTGGCTGACTCCAACTAAGCAACTTTTTAGATATGGGAGATTAGACTGACCCCTGAGATCTCCATACTGGAGACTGCATTGAGCCAAGCAATATCCGATGTCCAGGTGCTGAGCACATAAAGACATCGATACCTCTTCACTTGGTAATCTATTGATGGCTACAGGGTCTCTAAAGCTAGCTCAGACCCTGCATAGCCCTTCTAAATATTTTCAGTAAGGTTAGCCTTCTACATTGTGTATACAGTGACTCCTTCATCAAAAACAGAATGTATCTGGAGTTCTGCCTATGCATTTAAGCAGACATGGGGCACTGCCCACTGCTATCCACTGCTGTGCCTCAGGTGGGTCTGCTGCACTTGTAGTGCCCAGTGTGGCCACAACAGAAGTTGTGCTTCCTAAAGTATTCTAGAAACAAGTGGAACTGCTCATTTCCAGAGTGGGACAGATAATTCCAGAAATAAGTATTTCCACTTATTTCCACTACATAGGGAACTGTCAGCTTCCTCTTAGACTGGCAGCCTTTTCTGCTAGCGCTCAGGCAGCATTGGATACTGTTCATGGAACCTGACACTGAGAGACAATTGTGTGCCATCCAAAGCATTTAAACTGAAATAATTAAACGCTGAAGCCAGTACTAGGAATTCAGCCTAATTATTCTTGCTCTTCATACAGGAGATACCTTGTTAATTCATTCCCCTCACCTTGGATTTATATATCTTAAAAACTGGGGGAACCCCCATCCCTCTGCATTAGAACTTGTCAAGAATTTAACATTATGAATACTGTTTAACATTGAGGGTAATTACAGAAATTATGGGGTTACATTTTAATAGTGGTTAATTTCTTTGGGGATATTTTAGTTAAATTTTGTTATGAAATATACATACAAAGCCAATTCTATTTTATTGCAATGTAGCCATCAGCTATTAGGCACTGAATTTGAAAGAAAACATGCCAACCAATGGCATGGGAGGGTTAGGAAGAAAAATATCCTTATGTCATTTTACACTTGTCCTGTTAGCCTTTCAGTAGTGTACAAAGACTAACACAAGGAATTTGGCTGTTCTAAGTGTTACATATTTATCAACTTCAGTTACAAAGAAATACAAATTTGCAAGGGAGAACCTTTCCTTCCCTGAATCTGACAAGGCAAGGATATACAATATTTTAAAAGCTTGATAAGTACTGCATTCAAAATATACTGAATTATAAAAACACATTTTACCATCCTTAGGGATGCTTTTCAGGTGTCCATGCCAGTCTCTCCACTGAAGGATATTTAATCACACCCAGAAAAGGCTGTTTCCATGCTGGTATTAAACAAGTCAAAAAACTTTGAAAATGAAACCAAACCATCCAAAAACTATTGTGCACTAGTCTTCCCAACCTCTAAGGAAATGATGGTGCACCTTTTAGAGACCAAATGCCAAAACTGGAACCCAAAACCCACTTATTTACACAAAGTGCCAACACTACAATAAAACCTGGTACCCGAGGTTTCAGTTTAGAACAATCAACTCATAGCAAGTCCAAGCAAATATATATATATATATATATATACACACACACACACACACACACACACACACACACACACCCTTAGCAGCAGACTGACTGGTTATATGAAAGTTTAGACAAGTCACAGCTAAAGAGTTGCAGCCTGTGACAGCATCGTCTGGTGCCACAACTCCTTTCCGGGGATGCGCATGGCCCCTCTGCGTGCTGTTAACTGATGCTCAGCTCCTGGGTGATGCTGGGGTGACTTGTCTTGCATGCCAACAGAGAGGACTCTGCTTGACCGCTGAAGGCAGGTGTGCCATACGTTTGCCAGCAATGGACTAACCCTACCCTAGTGCATTCCCCTAAACTTAATATGGGGTAAAATACCATGACAAAGAGGGCAATTTTGAAAAGCCTTACTTGAGTAGGTTTTCCTGCACTGCTCAACATTTCTGCCCCTTCTATACACATTCCAACCATCAAAATCATGCCAGGACACCTCATTTTTGAAACCCTAACCCTACCCTGGTGCACACCCCTAACCCTAGCATAGGGTTAAAGTTCCATGGGAAAGAGGGGGGTTTAGAAAAGCCTTCCTTGAGAAGCCTTTTCTGTAAAGCTCATCATTTCTGCCCATTCTAAACATATTCCATCCATCAAAATCATGCAAGGACACCTCGTTTTTTTAACCCCCCCTACCCTGGTGCACACCCCCGACCCTGATATTGGGGTAAAGGTCCATGGGAAAGAAGGTGTTTTGGAAAAAGCCTTCTTTGAGCAGCTTTTTCTGCAGAGCTCATCAATTCTGCCCATTCTAAAAACATTCCAACCATCAAAATCTTTTCAGGACACCTCGTTTTCTCAAATCAAATCCTACCCAGGTGCACACCAATAACCCTAACATAGAGGTAAAGTTCCATGGGAAAGGGGGTAATTTTGAAAAGCCTTTCTTGAGCAGCTTTTTCTGTACAGCTCATCATTTCTGCAGATTCTAAACACATTCCAACCATCAAGATCATGCCAGGACACCTTGTTTTTCTAACCGTAACCCTACCCTGGTGCACACCTATAACTCTAATATAGGGTTAAACTTACATGGGAAAGAGGGGGGTTTAGAAAAGGCTTCCTTGAGCAGCTATTCCTGCACTGCTCAACATTTCTGCCCATTCTAAACACATTCCAACCATCAAAATCATGCCAGAACATCTTGTTTTCCCAAACCTAAACCTACCCGGGTACACACCCCTAACCCTTATGTAGGGGTAATGTTCCATGGGAAAGAGGGTGATTTTGGAAAGGCCTTCCTTGAATAGCTTTTTGCTGCATAGTTCATCATTTTTTGCCCATTCTAAACACATTCCAGCCACTAAAATCTTGCCAGTAAACCTCATTTTCCTAAACTTTAGCCTACCTGGGTACACACCCCTAACCCTAATATAGGGGTAAAGTTCCATGGGAAAAAGGATAATTTTGATAAAGCCTTCCTTGCATGGTTTTCTCAGTACAGCTCATCATTTCTGCCCATTCTAAACACACTCCAACCATCAAAATCATGCTAGGATACCTCACCCAGGGATGGTGAACCTTTTAGAGACCAAACTGCTACCCAAACTTCATTTATTAATCACAAAGTGCCAACACTAGAATAAAATCTGAAAACTGTTGGTTTACTTTTGAAAAAACAACTCACAGCCTGTCCATGCAAATATATGTCTATATCCTTGGCAGCCCACTTTGTGTCCATGCAAAAGCTTGGATGAGTCACAGCTCATGAATTTCGCCCTGTGACATCATTGCCTGGCGCTGCGACTCCTTTCTGAGCATGCACTTGGTCCTTATGTGCCCTGCTATCCTATGCTCAGCTGCTGGGGCGAATCTGGGGAGACTTGGCTCGCTTGCTGACCGAGAGGGCTCTGTGTGCCCACTGTGGCACGCACATCATAGGTTCGCCACCACTTCCCTAAGGGAAGTATTTGCTTCAACATTGAGAAACATCAGAAAAATCCAGAAATGAGGAACCACTCCAAAGGGAGCGGCTTTGTTCTTAAAAAGCTCAGCATTGGTTCTAGTTTCTAGGATTATTTTTGGAAATACTAGCTCTTATTGTGGGAGCAGGTGATTGTATTTGTTCAAGAAAACCAGTGGATGCTGTCCACATTAACTGTTCCCCTCAATCATACAAGAGCTTTTCTTTGAAAACAAAACACTGAACTTACTCATGTAAAACAGGTCTTACAACGGTCTCTCCCCAGACATGTGCTTTGTAAAACAGGGTATAGAGATACGGTAACAAACTATAGCGGATGGTCAAGTAGTGTTTAGTTGAGTTCACCAAAAGGGAGTCCTGCCCAAAGTATGCTGGATCTTTAGGCTGAAAGGGAATGTTATACTTGTTACTAATAGGAAGAAGGGAAATTCAAGCAACTAGAAGTATAACCTGATTTTAAAAGGGGACCTACTTCATATGCTTCAGCATTGTGATTTCGAGAAAATGGGTAAAAAGCTCCAAGCTGCAACCACCGTCTGCAAAGTTCTTCAGAGACATTGTCAAAGAACCCACAAATATCTGCTCCAATCTGAAAAAAATGCACATATTAGGTTTTATGTCTGTATTAGATTTAGTGAGAGCATTGATTTCAAACCTGCATTACAGAATTATGGATGTGTGAGAAATCCAGTTCAGGGGTGAGACTTTGTTGGACTTACTCTGATCAGCTGGCTGGACTTCAGCCTATTTTATTTCTTCCCTAAGTCCACCTCACCCTGAGAATTTGGTGGGAGTTCAAGTGGAGTCCTGCTTTGACACATGACTTGCAGGTTTTGCATACTTTGCACGAAAATGTCATTTACAATTTTTGCTTAAAGAAGTATGTATGCTGTGTATTTTGTGTGAAGAAGCCCTTGGCATTCCTGAGTGTGTGGAGACTTGATCTCAGCCTGCTTCCTGGTCAAGATCAAGACTTGGGAAAAAAGACTGCAAAATGCAAGAAAGTCACGTCCTAGTCTGACCTTTGCATCTCAAATTCAGTAATCAAATCTTAAATTAAATTTATAGAATGAAATGAAGTATGCACAGGAACATCTAGAAATATCCTTCTGTTTATTAATATTGCTTTGGTTTACTAAACCAAGAAGTCCAAGAAAGTCAAACTTCTCTCTTCTTGTTGCAGGGGAATGAAGTAGAAAAAAACCAAAGATTTCTTATTTTCAGGGAGTTTTAGCTGTGGGGTGGTATAAAAGTGTTGTTGTTGTTGTTCAGTATTGATATCAAAAATTCTATTCTCATATTGATTTTGACATAACAAGTCTTTTTGTGAACCAGTGTGGTGTAGTGGTTAACAGCTATTGTGTTCCTTCTGTGGCCCATACCTCCACGCTCCCATAGCACCAATTTATTTATTTTCTGAACAGTGTATCAGGACACTGTTGGCACATCAAAATCTGCTTGATTTTGATCATTAAGATGTCACAAAATGGTCACTTTGTATTCTACTTTGATCAAACTTATTTTTTATAATTCTAGGGATGCAGTGGATTGCCTACCCATGCTTTACAGTTAGATACTTAATTCTTATATAATTAAAATTAAAGTAACTTACATATGGGTATCCAAAAAGACCAAATTCCAACATTCCTGTTATTGACCATTTAATATCATTCCAATTGGCAGCATTATCTCCTAACCAATGTCCTGAGAATTTTCCAGAGCCAGCAAAGGTAGATCGAGAAAGGAGGAAGCTTCTCTTTTCAGAAAAAATGGTTTGGAGAGCCCTAAAAACAAAATGGATTTGTAGCATCATCAGAGTAAAGGGATCCCCACTGAGTTAAGGATTATTCAGGAAGCATCACTTCGTTCACACAAGGATGTCCTCAAAAATATTACCAGCCCAAGAAGTCCAATAAAGATCTCTCTCCCTGTCAATTCTTCCTTAAGAATGAACCTGAAGCCCACATGTTTTTCTAACCGTATAAGCTCTGATAAGACAATCCACTTTTAAGCTCTGATAAGACAATCCACACTGTATCAGTTAGCAAGATGTTCTGCTGATATCCTGGGCCTTGTTCATTGCTACCATAGCTAGGGATGCATGGCAAGTTTGATTTTGCTCACAAAATATGTAAGCATGCCCCAAATTTGTGGAAAAAATCATTAGACAAGTGCTTACATGCATCCCATTTTAAATTCCTAGTTCGATTGGTGCAAATTTTCTAACTTGTGCCAAAATCCTTACATAGACACAATCAGCCTCGTTTTAGTATCTGGAGGAGATTTACAGAAATTTCCCATTTGTTTACTTCTTCTTTGTTTGAATATTTCCTTCATGGAAAGTAAGCCATGATGGAAAATGTGAACTGGAAATTTGCATGAGACAAGTAGCAAGAGCATATCAGAAGAATTCTAGCAGTCTCAAACTTCTCAATAACCATTTTGGCATGAAGCAGTGCATATTCAAACATCCAGGAACATGTGCTAGGGGACAAGAGTTCCATGATACACATCCACTGCTTAAATGGAGTGGTCTCAAACCATTGTTTGAGAGAATATGAATGTGGGGAAGAGGGGTCATTTCCCATGGAGAAAGGAATGACTTGCATAACACAGTGGGTACTTACAAAATGTCCCAGAATGTTTGGAAATGAGCTTCTCCACTTCACAGGGATCAAACACCAGGATGCCTTCATCATGAAATATTTTCTACTTTCTTTATTGTTAAAATGGTTAGAGATTGAAAGAACAATCAAGCCATCCCAACCTGAATTGATTTTAATGACTGAGTTAAGCACATGCCTAACTCCTTCCTATTGAAATCAATAGGAGTGCAGAGTAAACAGGGCAAATTCTGATCTCAGAGGAAACAAGATTCTCATAGTACTTTACTTATACAAGAAGTATGCAGATGTCAGTTTCTGCATTTGAATGTAATGATTTCGAGTTTGGTGACATCAGTAGTCAAACTGAGTGGGCAGGTGCACTGCAGAAGCTTCTGCCAGCTATATCAGGGAAGAGGTATGGTCACTTGATACATGGGTGTCTCTGCCACTCTGTGACTGGGCAGGCTGCATGAAGTGGTCCATGGAGTGGAAGAAAAGCCCTGCCTGCTGCGGCTGGGGGATATCGGGTTAATTGAGCTTAGATTTCAGATACATGCAATTATTTCAGATATAGAAGCATGGTATTTTTCTGAGACTGAGCCATGAGTCTGAATATTTAGGCATGGATTTTTGCAGTCTAAGCAATTATGCTAATTTATACTTATTACAGAAAACTAGATTTAACTTTAAATGTGCAGCAACAGCTCTGTTTCCCCAGTTTTACTCTAGAATAAGTGCAGAACCTTTGATCTGAACTGAATCTAGAATAAAAACAAAACAAAAAAAGATGTAACTGCTATATGCATATTAAAAAAGTAATGTCTATTTTGAAGTTACTCAAAATATTTCCTCAAAACTTCTAAATAACCCAGTTTCCTTCTCCAAATATATGATTGCAGCTATTTGAAACTGAAATGTCGCTAGCAAAACAACATTTCTACAAGGAAATTTTGCTTTTGTTCTTACAAATGAGCCCAGGTAAATTAAACAAGAAAATGGTGAAAAATTGCTTACTGTTCAGTAACTATAGTCATGAAATATCCATAGAGGCTGTGGACATCATACTGCTTGCCTGCTATCTGCACTGCATCCATGCAAACTGTCTTTGAATACATGAGGCTATCAAGAATCCCTATGGAACAAAGAGAGAAAGAATCCCATTGAAGTACATCTCTGTGTTCAACATTTTAGAACTTAAAATGTCAGAACAAAGGAGTTTGCTGGCTTTGTATTTATGGAAACCACACAATTCAGAAAAGTTACATAGGGTGGGCTTACATGACAGCACAGGCCATGATGCTTTCCTATGCAGGATGTCTGTCCCGTTGTTTTTAAAAACCATGATAAGACACAAATGCCTTTTCTATGGTTTCAGTGCTTCATCAACACTTCCAGGCATATAAGTCCAGCATTGTGGTTTCCACGGTCCTAGTATGTAGCTACAACAATGCCTCCTGAAAAAAGCAACAGCTCCTACAAGAGCTGTTCCAGCCATCTAGTGTGGAAATGCATTTAATTTGTGGTGCCTGATGAGATATGTGCCAACAGTGGAAGGACTGAGTGAAGAGTGTGGAAACCACATGGGCATAGAAACTGCTTGAGCATCTGCCAGGCACATCCAGGCAAAAACCATGCACTCTGGAAACTATGCAGAGTTGCTTGTTTTCCGGTAAAACCCTGGATAGTTGCTGGCAGCCAGGGTAAACAGTTCAGAGCTAGATGCAACCTTAGTCTGATCCATTTAAGGCTAGTTCCTATGAGACTGGTGCATACACCGTTTCTTTCTTGCTGTACTATGATCTCCTAGGAATCAATAAATAACTGCAAAGGAATGTATCCACAAGGTCATAATACTTAGATAAAATGGTGCTATTATATCAGAGTGAATGTTAGCATGCTGAGGTACAATTTAGCTACTCTTATTCCACATGCAAGATCATTAGATTATAAACTACTGCCTATGAGGAAGCAAGAGCTACAAGGAAAAAATGCTTTCTTTCAGGCCACTGCTTTTCAGTGGAATGAGTCGCCACATCACACTGTTATTTTCCAACAAAACTAATGATCTGAGTAATGAGTCCTGACCATGAAAAGCAATTCTCAAGACCAATGGAGAGAATAGCAGTGCAATTCTATGCCTGCCTACTTAGAAGGAAGATGTCTTGATTTCCATGGTACATCCTTCTAAGGAAATGTGCAGCTGTCACAACCACAAAATTAAAAGGGACAGTTTCTAATTATTTTTTGTATCTCCTCCAAACCGAATTTCCTGTCTTAACTCCTAGTTATGATATCTAGGTTTATGGTGGCCTTATCAGGGACTGAGAATAGAGACTTAAGAATAAAGTCTTCAGAGCTGTTCTTGGTGGACCTTGGAATGGAGTCCCAGCTCACATGTATGTCAGATACCATATATCTTCAGAGCAAGGTGATGCAAAGGTGGCTTTGCAAGATGTCCTTTTGTACTAAGAATTTGGCTTCCTCAGAATATTAGGTTTCCTTTTTGAAAAAGGCATGTTTCAAGCTCTTATGAGTGCAAAGATATGCCACATTTGGCACTGTCAGTTGAAAGTTCAGGTTAGCAGTGGGGAATCTGAATGGGATGCCCATGGTTGTTGCTGGTGGTCTCCATGACCTCCTTGTTCATCCTCATGATAGTGAATTTGAATAAATCATGCAAAATAGTGATTCCCACAGAATGCATTCTAAAGAACCAATAAGGGATACAAGATGCTTGTATCAGCATGATTTAAATGAGCTGTAAAATCCAGCTTTTCCTACTTAATAAGAGTTTAGGAATACAAAGCAAAATTCTTTGGTCCTTTCTCAAATCAGCTTGAGGCAGCATGCAGCCTTCTCCAGCCCTCTGCTTTTGCCCTCTCTACAACTCTATGAGGTAGATAAAGCTGAATGATGCTGACAGTTCTAAAGCCATCAAGCATGTTTTAATATCAATTCATTGCTTTTTGGAATCCAGCAATCCCTGTTTTCTAAACAATAATCTAACAATCGGGCCACATTGATTCTTGCACTCAAGCACTTAAATGCTTGTGGCAGCACATACAGCTTCAGGGACAGCATTCTATCCCTATGTGGCTAGAGTAACACCATGGTGTAATGCTCATAACAAACTCATGATTCTATATAGGAAGAATTAACTCATCCTCCAAGGACTGATCATTCTGTGGCCTGGCCAAAACGGCATTGTTTACACACAAAAGCTCAGAGATATTCCATGCTTTTAAAATGGTTAAAAATGTTAAAATATATATACATTTTAAAAAAATTAAAAATTAAACCCATGGCAGGGGTTGTGGGGGAGAGAAACCCAGTCCAATGGATGTCAACCATGCTCAGTGGGCATGGGATGTTAACTGGCTGATAGGAACAGAAAACTGGGGGAGAGGATGATTTGGAGAATAAGGAGAAGGCTGTGAACTGCTGACCACTTAGCTGAGGATCTCACTTGTCATGTATTGTTCCTAAAGCAACAAACATGAAAAATAGGGATGGATATTTCAGGATGAGGCATTTCTTACATCTGAGCTTTGTACAATTCTAGCACTATAAATGGATAGACTACAATGTGATATTTTTGCAAATAATTATTCAAGAGGCATTGGAAGTTCAGTTCAGTTCAGTTTGAAAACAGAATCTGCTGAATGGAAAAGGAAAGTCAATACAATTGATAGACTATGAAGCAATGAAACATCTACTCTAGAAAAAGCAGCTTGTATATACTTTGCATAAAAAGGCTATTTGCCAGCAGAACCTATGTCCAGTATTCATTCTCCAGCACTTATTCATGCATTGATTCATTCATTCATTCATTCATTCATTTTCTTGGAATAATCCTCTCACAGTTATGTGATAGCTAAATTTGTAATTACCGATAATGTGAGTTTTTCTGGATTTTCATGTAAGGACTTACGTGGAGTAAAAGGAGGGTAGTTTAAGTTGTTCATCGCACAGCCAGATTTTGATCCTTTAACAAAATTGGATACTTCATTCATATCCTAGGGAAGAGATTTGTAGAAATGCATGAACTTATTCTATCAGTTATATCCACCTGTTTATCCAGGTGACCCCTTAAGAACATCATTAAGAGTACATCAAATAAACTTGAATGACCATTGCAGTGGAACACATAGATTCAAATTTAGAGGTTAAACACATGTAATGGCATACTTCACCGACGCAAAATGTATTTCTAAACACATGGAGCCAACTCTTCTTAAACAGAAAGAGTTATTCCACACATTCTGCATCAGAAAATGAAGTTAGGCCACCAAGTGTACACTGAACAGGAACCTGCAGTCGATCTGCTATGTGAATTTCATTTTACCTATTACATCTGTAAAAAGAAAAAACTTGTAAAATGACTTGTAAAACTCAGACAATCAATGAATTAGTGAGTAGTTCCTTAGTTTTTTATTCAGTAGAACTGAATTATGTTATCTTCCTCAAGCCAGATCCTTTGCTCTAATCCAGTCACAACTCTATGCTGCAGAGTCCATCAAGTTTAGGCTATTTTAGTCATATGAAAAATTTAAGGAAATTGGTTCCCTACTGGTCCCACTTAGGGTGACCTGATTTCTTCCATTGTATTCATTTATTATAGCAACATTCCCGTGTCTGTTAGATTTCAGACTGCTTGAACTCCAGCAGGAATTGCCGTTTCAACATGTTGGTAATGGATCACTTCATATGCCCTGAAAATAAGCCAACTGCCCAAAGTCACCTAGTGAACTTCATGGTAGAATTGCAACTAGAACCCATATCCCCTGAGTCTACAGAACAGGGACTATTAAAATAATATAAGTAATAATACTAATTGCTAAATTAAGAATAAGGACAGCACTGTTCTGAAGTTCACAAGTAAGAATCATATGAAGGAATATGTAGGAATGATCTCATTGGCTCCACTGTCTCTGTCATGAGCTCATCATCTGCATTATCATTCAACAAAACACCTACAACAAAACACCTTCTTAACTCATGGAGGCTTCCCATGCCAATTACAATTTTCCCAGAATTCTAAATTGTGCAAAAAGCATTCATGAGTTGACCCAAAATCTCTGCAGCAGATGTTCACCCTCAATACGTGGAGGGCTGCAGTGGCAAGAGATGGGGACATGAATGGGACAACAAACTTTCCTCCAATGGGGGAAAAAGAACAAGACTCCATCATGATTACTTTGGAGAGGGACTTCATCCCTCCTGAAGGACTCCTGCACATTTTCATCCACTGTTGGAAAACATTGTGAAAGAATCCCCCAGTTCTGCTGAATATAGCAAAGAATTCTGAGATGCCATGTTCACCTAGTCTTATTGGACCTTACTTTCCAGAAGGTCTATTTTGTGATGAAGAAAATGAAGTACTTACAATCCACAGTCCATCAAAGGGGATAATTTTCTGGAAATTCTTACTCTCATTTATCCACCACTCAGCAGCACTGGGATTAGAAAAATCAGGAAAGACACTAGTTCCTGGCCACACCTGTAGCAGTTGTAAAGAACATTTCCATGATGTACAATGGGTGAGAACCAGAACAGAGGCATGAACAATCTCAGTAACAGAATAAACACATTCCTGTAGGTTCCATGTGAACAGTAAGTGGATGAAAGACAGTAAAATACAAAATAACATTCAGATGTGAGGTACCAAATCTATTTTTATTGAACTGGTTTTTGTTTAATGCAGCTTAAGAATGATCATCGAAAAAGATATATGGATGTCCCCCACCACCCCAATTCTGCCCTGGGTTTGTCCTGTTGCTGTTGTGTTCTGCTCCAGGTATCTCCTGCTAAGTAGGAAAAATACTATTTTTGGAATGTTTAGAGTGGATTTTTGAGTATGCTTCTTCACCCTTTCTTTCTGGGGAAGAAAAAAGAACTTCTCCTCTGAAAATGGATGTATAAGTGTGAATGTATCTGAAAATGTATGAATCAGATGCCACACATGTGCCACACACACACACACACACACACACGAGAGAGAGAGAGAGAGAGAGAGAGAGAGAGAGAGAGAGAGAGAGAGAGATTTTTAGGCCCTATTCATCCCTACCTTACATGTTAAGTCTAGCAACTTGCTATTTTGCCACACATAAACACATTCAATTAAAAATCACCCTATAAAAAAGAATAGCTGCTCATACCATTTTAAAAACATTTCTGTCATTTCCTAAAAGACAACTCCAGAGGTACTACAGATTACAATATTAATCAATTTCAGTGTAGTGCACATTCCCACTGAACTATCAAGGCAGAAAGCTCGTAGAATTCTGTATCAGTAATCACAGATTCGGTACAAGGCACTATTGAGGCATTATTATTTATTTACCATTGGAAAATGAAAGGGGAAAAAAGATTACACTTGGAACAAATGCTAGAATGAATGGGACTTTATACATGGTGGGGATATCTAAAAATGAAGTCCTTTGTAGGAAAAGAAAGCACAACCGGGGTAATGAAAAAATATAGGTTAATAGGCAATTAATCCTGTTAAGAAATAATCATTCATATACAAGGAATGTATTATCTAATTTTAGACATCCATTTGCATGATTTTTTCACATTTTCAAAGATTTGATTAGATGATGACCTCTATATTTACCTTCCATAATCAGGTAAAGAAATATAGTTCACTCACACTGCTGCATATGTAAGTAACTGATATCTCACTCAGAAGAAAGCATGTGGGAAATGTTTGTATCTAACTCTTCTTTTTGAAAATAAGAATCCAGGAAGGTTAGTACAAGAAGTATAAGGCAAAGCAAGATTCAGCTGATCTGTGGGAAGTACTTTGGTCAGACCACCACTCCTTTGGCCAACAGAGCAGCTGCTTTTGTCTTCTTTGGGGAGAGAAGAACCCCATAATGCAGCAACTAGTCTCAGGAGCCTGTGTCAAAGGCCTCCCTCCTTCTACGATAGTCTTTCTCACATCATGTGCCCTCCAGATGTGTTGTACACAACTGGCATATTTTCCAGTCAGTATGGCCAATGGTCCTGCCAGCTGGGGGGACCTGGCACTGCAGTCCAACATATCTGGAGAACAACAGTTTGGAAAGGTCTGATCAACTTCTCCCATTCCTACTGCTGTTGTTTTTGCAGTTCAAAATATTTCCTGGCTGCCCTTCAGTATTTCTCCCAAGACGATGCACATTAACAAAGGCATAAAACTGGTACAATATTTACTGATACAATTAAGGTGAACACCATACAAATGCAATGAAGCTGGAAAAGGATAATAAAAAGAGCAACACAAACGGCAGCAACTGCAGTCATATCAGGGGATGGCCAGAGTATGTGTTTTCAAGACCTTCTTAAAAGCCCCAAATGTGTGAGTATGGTTGATGTTTAATAGCAATTTATTTCAAAGGTATGGGGCCACTGTAAAGAAGGTCCTCTAGTGTATGGTCACCCATCTAAATGCTCTCACAGGTGGGTGAATGAGAAAGGCTTTCTTGCTGATTTTAAGGTAAAGGTGGGCTGATAGGAGTAATGGGGTTCTACAAGTAGTTTTATCCTAAGTCATTGAAAGCTTTGAAGCTCAATACCATCACTTTCAATTGGGCTCAAAAACACACCAGTGCAGGTCATGTAGTATAAATATTATATGACTGAATTGCCTTCCCCACTAACACTTGAGCAGCTTCATTTTGCAGCAGCTGAAGGCTATGAACCATCTTCAAAGGCAGCCCCTTCAAAGCAACAAGACACATTATACTAGACCAGCAGAGACATCTCTAGTGCATGGATAATTAAGGTAAGTTCCATCATCTTCAAATAGGGCTGAAGCTGGTAAAAAAATACCCAGCTGGACTTTCTAAGCCCAGAGTCTTGGAGGATGGCCTGACTATGCACTTAACCTTTTATGAAGAATGGACCCCATCTAAAACTGTTGTGAACCTCCATCCAGAATAGTTGGTTTTCCAATTCACATCATATATCTTCTTATCTGGATCAAGTTTCAGGTTGTTCACCCCTACCCAATGCAAAATAGTCTCCATATACTGATTTATGAACTCAATAGACTTCCTGGAATATATGGAAATGAGAGAGAGAGAGCTGAGTATCCTACTGATTAGGGATATGAAAAGACTCTGTCTTGTATGGAAAAGCCACTAGATCCCCTCATTTCAGTGGCCTGGATCCCAGTCTGCTTTGTGGATGCCTAGAGTCCAAATTCCAGTGAGCATGCCCAGGATTCATGGGGCACTCATCTGAAATTGAGCTCCATGCACTGCCCAAGGAGCACTGTTCTTCCGCACCTACTGCTGCTGCTAGCATGACAAGAGGGGAAAGTTGGCTGCCAGGAATGGCAGCTGTGGAAGATGGCTGGTTGTGTAACCAGGGGTTTCTGGTCACAGAAGTCCTCTTGTCTCAGGTAGCTTGGCAGGACTGGACCAAGCAAAAGAGGAAGTCCATGGATTCTGGAGGGATGAGTTCTGAAAGGGTTTATCCCAACCCTATTGATAACACATCAGCCGAACCTCCTGATAACTTCCTCCAATAGTTTCATGTAGGTGTTACAAAATATGAGAGACAGAACAGAAACTTGTCTCACTCTACAGGCTAATGGCCATGGGGTAAAACAAAACTCCTTTGTCACCACCTTCTGAGACCACTCTCCCAGGAAGGACCAGAACCAACCTGTGAGTCACAAGCCCAATCCAGACAAATGATCCAGAAGGATACCATGGTTGATGGTATCAAGTGCCACCAAGGGTTCTAGAAGAAGCAATAACTCTCTGCATTCATTCCTTGGCATAAGTCATTAACCAGGGTGACAAAGGCTGTTTCTGTCCCGTAATTAGATCTGAAATCCGGTTGAAATGGATGCAAATAATCAGTATCATCCAGCAATACCTGGAGTTGTACAGCCAACATTTGCTTCAGCACCTTACATAAGTATGGCAAAACCATTGGATCTAGGTGGCCTCATCAGTTGTGGGGACATCACCCCCACCATTCAAGGGAACATTTGCCAGCTTAGAGGTCCAGGTACCCATCTCAACTCTGGCACATTCACAAGGATCTAAGGAGCAGGCTGTCTTCTGCTAGCTTCAGAGGAGCCAACTGCCGCTTGCCCCTGTTCTTGAAGTAGAGCGGGCTAAGTGGGAGTTGGTTCCTGAGCAGTGTGCTTTTCCACGGTCTGTATTCTTTCTAATGGGGCTAACAGAAGAAAATTCCTTGGAAATTATGCCCCACATTAAAAATAAACAGCTACTTACCTCTCCAATAAGAGGCTTGACTCCATTGGATTCATTTATCCACACTTTCATTTGTTCACCATTTCTGTAGGCCTCATAAGGGGTATTATTTTGACGGGGATTCACAGATATAGCTGGATCCTAACAAATTAGGAATAGAAAAATTCACTGCTTGTGGAATATGCAGTTGACACATCAGCCTTGCCCCCAAACAACCAAAAATAAAAAAGGTAAAGAAAAATGATAGAAAAATGCTGCTCTTCCATGACATAGACCAAGACTGCTCAGCTTTAGGGCCTTGGAAGAGTTCAATGACGCAGAAACATTCCTGACAAGAACTTACTGCTGACCTGGGGGGTGGGAGTGGTTGCTAGTTAGTGGCCACCATTTTTATTTCAGGCAATCCCACTAGGAACAATGCAATACCATTCTGCCACACTAGCCTCATAGGAACTATTGGGGAAATCACAGTGTAAGCAGGGCAGCAAACAAGGACTGGAGGCATTTTGCATTACCCTTAGCAGATGAACTATCATACTTGGCAGCTTGGAAAGGACATGCCACAAACTTTGTGACATGCCTATTTCACGCGAGACCACCAGGTACAGTATTAGAAGGAATTAAACTGAGGTTGAGCATGCTCAAGCAATCTTTTCAATAGTATTTTCCTGTACACAAGATCTATGAAATTGTTCATCTTTGGAACAACGTCCCTGCTGCAGCCTATTTGGTGCCAAATTTGCTGTCTTTCCATCACCATGTCAAGGAGGCCTTTAAAAATCTCCTTGGTCATCCAGTGGCCTGAGAGGATTATCCTGGTAATTCTCCTGGCAGAGTTTTTTTCACTTTATTTTAATGTATGTTGAGCTATTTTACATTAATTTTAACACTTTAAACACTGTTGCTTTATGTTATTTGTATTGTATTGTTTTGTTTTATACCTCATTGTAAACATCTCTGAGAGTTTTGGCTATGGGATGGTACAGAAACAAAATAACAACAAATCAGACTCACCAATATTATGATATATTTTTGTCCATGGTTATGCAGGTCTTGAACAAACTGAGGGAGGCCTGCAAATTTTACTACATCATAAGTAAAATCTTTTTTATCTTCCATGTAGTCAATATCAGTGTACTGAACATCCTAAAAGAAAATTAACATAATTGTGAAGATTAAACATCACAGAGCTATTAAACTGGTTGCTCTCATATTACCTATTTACAACAGAATAATACTGTCCATTAGTAGCAGCAATATTTTATGAGCAGCTCCTACATGGAAAAGTGGTAAAATGGGCAAGGAAAAGTGGTAAGATGCCCATGCATATTTGGCAGAGCAAACTAGCTGTGGAGCTTGAAAAGTGATTGCATGCTTATCAAGGTAGGTTTCTACTTAGTAAATTCTTCACTCGGTGCACACTGGCTGTGTTCATAAATCAGGGAAAACAACCTTGTGCAGTTTCCATGGTGCATGGATTTTTACCAAAACCAAAATATGGTTCCCATGGCAACATAGTTTCCCCATGCCCTGTCCTCTCCTTTCACTCTCATCCTGCATTTTGTTTGCTCCCACAAGCAAAATCTTATTCCTTACACTAATGCTCCCTATGGACCTCAACAGCCTCATCCAGAGTGGTCCACTGAGGCTTGGGAATTGGTTCCTCCTCTTCCTCCTCCCAGGTGTGCTTCCTCTACACTGAGGAGCAGGTACTCTGGATCCAAAAGGACTGGACACTCTATGAAGGGGGCCAGGAACACCAGGATAGCCTTCAATGTGGATAAGTGCAAGGTCTTGCACTTGGGGCATAGGAATGGGTGTCATAAGTACAGGTTAGGGGACAAGTAGCTGGAGAACAGTACTTGTGAAAAAGATCTCTGGGTGCTGGCCAACTGCAGGCTAAACATGAGTCAGTAGTGTGATGTGGCAGTCAAGAGGGCAAAAGTCACCTTTGGATGCATAGCCAGAAGTATGGCTTCTAGATCAAAAGAGGTATTACTGCCATTCTATATGACTCTGGTGCACCTGCAGCTAGAATATTGTGTATTTGGAAAACCAAGTTCAGTTTTCCAATTTTTCATTCACTATCTTTCAGCCTAATCTACTATTATTGTTAGAATAAGATAAGAATCTTGTATGTTGCCTTGAACTCCTTAGAGGGAAGGTAGCATATACAGACATTGTGGCTTTTGCTGTTTTAAGTCAACTGTGCTGTAAAGTTACATCTACACTAATACTAAACCAGCTTATTCTCCACATCTACCCCTTATCTTAAATATGCAAACCAGTAACCTTATTTGGAGGAAACCCATTTGCTTGGGCTGGATAAAGTAATTCTTCTTCAAATGAGATTTAGCTCACTTACTTTCCCAGCCTAGCAAAGAGGGATTAGTAATTTTCTAGGTTCAGGATTAACATTTGATTGGTGAATAACATAGGCTGAGGAAGGGGTAAGCACAAGAGCAGCAGAGGTGTGGGGGAGATATTTATTTCTTTATGCATTACATTTTTATGCTGCCCAATAGTCAAAGGCTCCCTGTTATCAATTTACAATTGTCCAATTTACCCACAACCACCAATCTTTCTCTCCGTCATTAAGAACAACATAAAAACATAAGAAGAGACTTAGAAACATAGAAACAGAGCGAGTCAGATGGGGTCTCCTGGGCCATCTAGTCTGACTCCCGGCTCCAGCCTGCTCCGCTCATGACATGCCTACCATTTGCATGTCCAGCCTATCTTTGAACACCCTCACCGATGGGGCCTCAACGACCTCTCGTGGAAGTCCATTCCACACCCTTGGGGTCCTAACTGTCAGGAAGTGCTTCCTGGCATCTAAATAGAACCTTGGTTCCCTGAGCTTTGCTCCGTTGGAGCACGTCCTGCCTTCCTCTGCAGGGGAGAACAGGTCTCTACCCATCTCCATGTGACATCCCCTCACATACCTGCATGTCGCCAACATATTCCCTCTGAATCTCCTCTTCTCCAGGCTGAAGAGACCCAGTTCCCTCAGTCTCACCTTATACGGCATCCCCTGCAAAATGGACACCAGCCTTGTGGCCCTACGCTGCACTGACTCTAACAAGGCTATAGCCTTTCTGTAATGAGGGGCCCAAAACTGAGCACAATACTCCAGTTGTGGGTACAGCAGAGTCGTATAGAGTGGTAGTAATACCTCTCTCGATCAAGAAGCCATACTTCTGGCTATGCAATCAAGGGTGGCATTCACCCTCTTGACCACCTCATCACACTGCTGACTCATGTTTAGCCTGCAGTCAAACCCCATACATAAACCAATAGCTTTAAAACCCTATTGATTGCTGATATTAGCATTAACCATAGTCAATATCACATGCCATTACCAGTATATTTTACACTATTATTTGTGTTGAAAAAAAGAAAGAAAAGAGGAGTGAATAACACATAATTAAGTGGTTGCCATAAGTACTTCTGCTTGAAGTACACTTCAATATCTGGACTTGGCAACCCTACCATGAGAACAGATGTCATTTTCCTATAAATTGAGTTGTTCATATACAGTGTATGATTTCACTCAGTCACCTCCCCATCTCCTACCTAGAGTAGTAGATTCAGAAACTGATCAATGGCCTGGATGTATAGTTTCATGCATGTTAAGCACAATAAGAACCATTTACTCTCTGTGCATAATCCATTCCGACACTGTATGCAGTGACCTCCATTGCTATGGTATCCTGCTATGTGATATTTTACGTGATTTCCACAGTGTGTGTGTGACTGTATGTGTGTAGTGAATTGATGAAAAGTGGACTTCAAGAAGAAAAAAAGTCATCACAGCCTTCCTTGTTCATAGATATTCCACAGAAAATCCCGCCCATATCAAACAAATTTAATGCCCTTTCATTAATTGGTGCAACTGGCTCTTTGGCAAGGGCTGTATCTGAATTTGACAAAGGTTTGACAAACGTTAGCACTTGTTCTCATTTTAGTTCTTCTGCTTTCAGGGACAACATCTCTCTTACCGAACTCCCTCTAGGGATAACTCTTTTCAAAATGACAGCCTTGATTTTTACATCTGGATCTTCCATAATTTGCTTGTTTGGTTTCGTAAACTTTATTGGAATCTCATCAAAATTTCTCCCAGCCTCAATAATTCCCCTATTGGCATTCTATTCACTGGATAAATTTAGCATTATTTCCAGCTACTATAAGAAGAAATTCCACAGAACTCCAATGTATTTCCTTGCTGATCAGTCATTTATTAGTCAATGTAAATTCCATTTATTAGGTATAATGCTGCTGTGAGTATTGGCAACCTGATGCCCTCCAGATGTTTGGATCAATACAATATTCCTGCCTTTGGCTATACGGGATGGGAGTGATGTATCTAGTGGTGAATGAAAATTTGTTCCTGATCACAAATGATGTGAACATGTTCTGTTTACAACCCTTGAATACAAGCTTGAGCAGAATTATTGGGCGATATTCAGAATTTCTCAAACTTGTACTCACATTCAAAAATGCAGTTAACAAATGCAAATGTGTGCAAATCCCCCCAAACCCACGTGTTCGGGCTTTCGATCAGAGAAAAAATCATCTGCATTTTTCATTCCCCCCCCCCCAGTCAAAAACAAAAGCAAAACAAAGATACACATGTTTGGGAAAGCAAATGTGGTGAAAGGAGCTTCATAGGATTAAGAGAATTTCAATGAGCTTGAACGTTGCTAGTCAATACAGTCACATGGCCTTTGGCCACACTGGTGCATATCTGTAGTCTGGGTGGTAACAAGTGGTCCATAGATTCCCCTGAACATTTTGGGGGACATTGCTATGTTGCGGAAAAGTGGTTATGGGATGGTAAAAACAAGAAAAAGCACTGTTTTCAAGGATAATTTGGGGGTTTTCCCTTTAAAATGGAGGGGTCCCCAGCACACATTTTGGTACTTGGTGTCAGGGTGGATTTTAACTGTTAAAGCCCTAGAAGTTGTCCACCTATTTATTTATTTATTTATTTATTTATTTATTTATTTAGTTATTGCATTTATATACCACCCCAATAGCCCAGAGGGCTCTCTGGGTGGTTTACAAACATTAAAACCCCACCAATCCTAAACAAATAACTAAATTGGCTACACCACGACTGATCTAGTGGCATGGGAGTTGTTTCTCTAGCCTCTATGACTTAGCCCAGCCACATAGTTACATGATTCATATACATATTATAATGAAATAGCCTCTTGCCCAAAGTAGAGGTAAGTGTGAATGGAGTCTTAGCCCATGATAAAAGAGAAGTTGTTTATATGCTTGAACTTGTCAATCAGTGCTGACTCTCTTTACATACGACTTCATCTTCTTATTATCCTCCATAGAATTAAGTTCAGGGATTTGAAATCCAGCCAAACATAGGCCATATTATCAGGATTCCTTCACCAGTGCTGTCTTTTCTCCAATTGGTTCACACCAGGAGTGCATTCTAGCCACCCCACCCCCAAAAAGCACTTTCTACCATTGACCAATAACACATTCCCAGTTTACAAATCCCATTATACTTACAAAAGGTATTCCAGCTGCCCGGTTCCTTGCTACCACAGCTTTCAAATCATTAATATCAGAGTAGTTCCAGCGACATAACTGGAACCCAAGACTCCAATAAGGAGGCATCCATGGAAGTCCTATAAGCTAAAAGTTTGAAACATAAAAAACAAGTTAAAGTAACTATTGCTATGCAATATTGAGTGTTGTTGCTCCATGTGCTTGCTTGACGTAGTGCTAGTGTAAGAAACTTCTAGAGCAACACTAACAAATAATCTTAGCTGGCACAATGAATTTCTGGGGAAACCCATTGCACCAGCAGATGCTATTAGTCTTGCATTAGAGGTCATTTACATTAGTGTTACATCAATTGTGCAAACAGGATGACAGAATTGAATACTATGTTCAGTGGGAAATTGTCACAGGAAGACACTCCTTCCAGATTTGTCATACAATGATGTCCATAGATAAGCTGTCTACAAATACCTGTGATTCCTTCCTTTTGCTACTCTCTCCTACCCACAAACAAACAAACAGAATTGGCCTTTGAGTCAATTCTGCCAGTCTTATTAAAGGACCCAGCTCACATAGGCAGACTTCACTGAAGGATGATGGTATCTCATCCATTCTGGACGGAGGAGTTTAGACTTATGGTTTCTAGATCCACATTTCAGAGCAATTTTGGAGGGAGCTATGCGCTCCCCTTGTCATAATTTTAATTCTTAGAATTTCAAGTATCTATCCCAATAACTATGTTTGGGTGCAAAAGCTAGACAGTGAATAAAGCTGAAAGGAAGAAAATAAATATATAAAGAGATGATGCTCTTGAAACATGGTGCTGCAGGAGACAGCTTTGTGAATATCCTGGACTGACAGAAAGACAAACATGTGGATCCTAGATCAGATTAAACCAGAGCTTTCCCTAGAAGCAAACATAACAACACTGAAGTTGTCATACTTTGGATGCATCCTGAGAAGGCAAGACTCAGTGGAGAAGCCAATCGTGTTAGGCAAAGTCAAAGGCAGAAAATGAAAGAGAAGAGCAAATATGAGATGGAATCCATAAAGGAATCCACAACTTCCAGCTTGGAAGAACTGAACATGAACTGTCATGGACAGGACATTTTGCAGGGCTCTCATTCATAGGGTTGCCATAAGTGAGAGACGCCATAAGTCAGAGAACTTCAATTAGATCACCAAGAGAATTGAACTAGAGAATCAGTATACAGATGACATCTAGTTCTATCTCTTGTATCCATCATCCAGTTCTGAGGACACTGTGAAAGGTCTACGGAAGTTATGGTGACAGTTTTTGATTGGATGAGGATGAACAGATTGAAACTTCATCTGGGCAAGATTGAAGAACTATTGGTTGGGGGAGTAGTCTGCACCCCCCTTTTTTGGAGATTATGCAGCTTATTTTGACATCACACTCTCCCTGAAGCAGACATTTCTGAACTTGTGGTCTTGTTTCTTTTCAGTCTCTTCCTTTCTTTGATACAAGATTGTCATTTCATGGTCATACATGCTCCTAGATACTCAATTGGCAATGGCAGCTGTACCTTCCTTTTAGCAGTCTGTGCACCAGCAGTTCCCTTTTCTGAAGAAACTGGTCCTGGACTCAGTCATTCACATTCTAGTTGTTTCAAGACCAGGTTACTGTCAGGTTACACCCTTTCATTTCCCCATTATTTTAATGTTTAGTTTGTTTTAACTGGGGTTTTTATCTTGATTGCTGGATGCTGTTTTGCTACTTTATTGTTCTTTATTGTAAGCTGTCCCGAGACATCAAAATAGTGGACGAGTTATTAAAGTTTTAAATAAATAAATAAATATGCATCACAAGAGCCTGTCCTGGAAGACAGTCTATAAGCTTCAATTATTTCAGAATCCAACTGCCAGTATTTTGCCTGGAGTCAATATAATGGATTAAGTTACACATACAGTATTCCTAATCAGCATCAATGGTTGCTGATTTATTTCCAGGCTCAGTTCAAACTTTGGCTTGGACCTTACACCCAGGAACCAGAATATCTCAAGAATGCTGACCCCTCTCCCCTCTGCCTGCCTAAGAACTTCACTCCATCTCTGTGATCCTGTGATGGACTGGCACTTAAGAAGACCTTGCCAATTGGGATAGCCATAATCTGAAATAGGTAGGCTCTCTTTTCAATGAGAAGAAAGATTCAATTCAGCAGTCTTTTTGAGGACATTGTTTTGATTAAGGCTTATCCTGTAATGACTGCTTTTAACCTTGTTGTAAACTGCTAGGCACATTTAACATTATTATTTGTTGTTTCAAGGTTTGTAAGCCAGTTGATTATATTTTACATAAAAAGAGAGTCAGACGGCACAGCTTAACTTGGAGAGCATGACTTTTCCTATTTGAAAATTGGGTTCAAGTGCTGTTTTCTCTGAATGTGAGATACTGTTACACCCTTGGAGCACCTTTCCCAACCTTGGGTAGCATCCAATTCTGAACTAAAGCTAATGTAAATCATGTTGCACAATAGCATCTGCTGGTGTGACAGGTTTCCTCAGAAAACCCAGCATGCCAGGAGGTGCTATTGGCATTTTGCTATGAGTGCACAATGTGAGTGCAGCATCAATTACATTAATGGTTATGTATCACTGGAAAATGTGCATTAGCTCTCCAGATGTTAATCATACTCAGCAAGCATGGCCATGGCTAATGGATAATGGAAGTTATAGTGGAGCAACAACTAGGAACCCAATCATGGGAAAGGGCTTAGAGAATGATATTTCATTTTCAAGTATAAACAAAGTCAGGGGAAATAAATCAAGGGAAAAGACAAGGAGTATATAAAATTCAAAGAGCATAAGATAAGTTAATGAGTAAATCATTTACTGCGTCTTCACATCTTCAGTTCATTGCTTCCTTTCATCCCTATGGAAAACTATGGAAGGCATTTCACACAGATGGGTATGTTCCTTGCAAAGAGTTCGGTCAAAAGAAATGGAGTGCATGAAAATAATAATTAACATGCTGTTCGATTAAAAGTAGCATTACTCCTACAAGAGATGTTCACAGTAGTGTTCAAAGTGTGCCATCGCTAATGGCCTTATGAATCTGTCAGGAGTAGTGATGCCATGGAATTTTGTAATTAGTCAGTTCACTGGTTAAATTTCTACTTTCATAATGCTCAGATTTTTTGCAAGATTGAATTGCTTACTCATGAAAATGTTTATCAACTTCAGAATAGTGTGCAAGCTTTGGAGCATGTGCAAACTGCTTTTCAGCTATAGCATGTTCATGTATGCACTGTGTTGTTTTAACCTTTTCTTTCAGGAAGAAATGTAATAATATTATTTTCATCCTTTAGGGAAAGATTGGCATTTAAGCTTTTCCCATGAACTCATCATGTTCAGTGAAAAAGAGATTGTATGCACTTCTATATTCTGACCTATATACTGCATAAACATTATATAAAATACTGAAAAAACATTATATAAAAAGGCTTCATGGAAACAACCAGTTAAGGAGGGATACATAAGATGGTCACATATGATGTCATGATGCATTGCATGATTCCAAACTACAACTCCCAAGATGCAGTTTGACACCGTGCCTGACAAAAACTCATATATACAAAATGAGATGCCAAAGCAAAAGAGCAGCCTGATCCAAGCTAATCCAGATAAATTGGTACTTTCCAAGGTTATAATGAATTCATTTGAGGAAATTTTATCATTACTGTAGTATAGAAAACCAATAGAAATAAGATATGTAATTGAAACATACAGACAGATATTCTTGGACAACTTGTTCTGGAGTATTCCCCAAGAAGATGTAGAAATCTAGAATTCCACCAATTGTCCTGTATGTAACAGCTGGGGCAGGTTGGAGAGCAAAGTCTGCAAGGACAAACATCTTAAGTTAACTTTTAAGTTACACCTAGCACAGATACTTTTGCCACAATTATGTCAATTGACATAATGGAGAAAAGAGAATACCCCTGTGAGCAATTTCTGATGTGTGGCTGCCTTGTTGTGGAATTATAATATCTAAGCTTGTTGTGTACAGGAATTATTTCAACACCAGCTTGTGCCCCTGTAGATGTTTGAGTTCATAGTTGGTAGGAAATGATTCATGAGTATAATCTTTTCACATCTTACATTTTCATTATATAGTGTGATGCTGTATTGATTCCACTAGAAAATTGTTTTGATCTAAAGGACAGGAACTCAATGCATGAGCTGCAAAGTTTAGATCATCTTTATTAAGATTACCTATCCATGGCTGAAAATTATTGCTCAGTTTATACTAATTGGAATTCTACGTGTGACATTTGGCCCATCACGGACCACACGACTCCACAAATTTTAGAGTGGATTTGCTTGTCTCTCTCTGAAGATTGGTTTTGCCATTGCTCTGTGTTATGAGCCATGTGAATTTTGGATCCAGCAATTATTGAAGTCTGAGATGCCATGGAATGAGAAGCTAAATTAGCAGGTATCCATTTCCCAGACAGTTTTGCAAATAAACAGAGGTGTTAGATCATTTCAGATGAAACCATTCCATGTGAGCTTCACCAAAGGTTGAAATGAAAAGTCAGCATTCGCTGTAATGTGAAACAAGTTAGAGAAAACATTTCACATGAATCCAGTTGAGGGGAAAAGTCAAAACATTGCATCTTCTGATTATATGTAGTGGCATCCAATAAGGACCTTCTGCTGATACAAGAGAGCCAGTGTGATATAGTTTGAATGGGTGGCCCCTGGCATTTGGCAGGCAACCTGGATAGGTTCCAGTCCCACATTCATAAAGCTCACTGAGTAGCTTTGGGCCACTCTCTGACTCTCTGCTTGACCTACCTTATAGAATAATTGTGAGAACAGAATAGAAAGGGTGAGAGAGATTAAGTAAGCCACCTTGTATTCCTTGCAAGAGCAAATAAGTCAAGCTATAAAAGCAATACAGAAATAAATGTTTCCAATAGCAGCATAGGAAGGGATATGCCCATATGCACAGTCAAGATTTGCTCAAGGGGCTTGAGTTAATTAAGGATGGGACATATCCATCTGGCCTGCAAGGGTTTACCATCTGGGCCACCAAATTCTCCAGACTCCAGCCACTTTCTTGGCAGGTAAATATTTTATGTCTGATAGGCAGCTGAGGTGGCACAGCCTGGGAAGAAAGCAACTGATTGATTCATTCACTCATCTCAGCTCATTCACTCATCCATTTCCACAGTCCCCAAGAGTCAAAGTTCCTTGAGCATTTCCTAAAACTTGCAATCCCAAAATACAGCATAATAAAAACATAATATAAAATATTGACTATTGAAAAACACTCAGAAAACTGTACAATGAGTTTCTCAGACTTGATAAAGCAAATACAATTCTTTCAAAAAGCATATGCCATCAAATGTGTAAGTCTTAAACTGGTGCCAAAAAGATGTCACTGTTGGTGCTGGGTGAACTGATTCAGTCTTAATTACTTCTGAGGGTAGAATGTTGCAGATTAGAGGACTTTTTCTATCTAAATATGCATAGAACTTCACCCTGAGGGTATAATCTTGCAATAAACATAATGTGTCAAGTCTATGCTGCTCCCCCACAACAACTCCGTTTAATAAACCATAAGAAACCTAGTTGGGCATCATCACCATTACTTCCTTACCCATAGCATTGCTGTTCATAAGGAAGACACCAAAGGAATGGCCACTGCTGTCTTCTAGGCACAGGAAGAACGTGTGAGCTCCATACAGGTTGCTCATGTCCTTCAAATAAAAGAAAAGCAAATTAAAATTTCCAGAACACATATGCATTACAGGGATCTATAAAACCTGCATTTGGAAGGTTGTAAGTCCTTATAATACCTGACTAACCATCACAGAACTAACATTCAATAAATTAAGTTTCTTCTGCTTTTGATTTCCATCCCAACACCTTGATAATTCAGTATCAAGTTTCTTGATAAGCTTCTGGACGACCATTTGTAGAGCTATGCCGCTTCCTGGACATAGATATCCTTTCATTTATCCCATGGCCGTCTGATAGAACTTTGATGAATTCAATTTTATCAAGTCTAGTTAGTTCAGCTTTAGCCAGTCATGGGAATGATTTGTTCACTTTTAAAATACCATTTAGTCAGGACTGACCCTTAAAAAAAAAAAGTTCATTTGCCTTTAAAAGTTGCCTGATACAAAGATATTTAAGAGCTTCCAATTATAGAGCCAAAACAATGGGGAATTTTTCATTTGTTTACTTCCTGACAGACTGCGATTAAAGGCAGGAGTGCAGAGCCAGTAAAAAGTTGTAAATTATACATACATTTCTGATGAAGAAAAATGATCCTAGATTGGGTAAACAAGTATTTTGAATATACCTCCGCCCACCATCACCCTTAACATTTCCCCATGTCCTGAAGATACCAGGGGTTGTATCAAATGTTGGAAAATATGTTTTGGAAAAAACAGAGATAAGTGTTGTTAATACCAGCTTTGAACACATATCATTTTCCTCCTATTCTGGGAACAAATGGAACTATATTTCAAACATATGTATACAGTTTGCTTTCCTATTGTTTTTACTCCATGAATTCATAATAAAGCAAAATGAGTATTGTTACTTACCCCATTAGGAAAGGCATCTCGTGTAAAGATGGGCCATGTTTTCCAGTTAAAATCATGTCGGTACTGTCTATGGACATGTTCTCCTACACCGTAAACATTCCAACTGGGCAATTTGATGGAGAGCTGCAAGAACTGGTCAGCATACACCAGTGGTCCTATATTGGTGTTGAAGCTGGTTGAACAGTGATAAGATGTTATAGCTCTTTTCAGCATATACACCATATTAATTTGCACTCATTTATTGAATTTCATTACAGTTCAATAGTCAAAGCCCTCCAGGCAGTTCATAACAATTAAAAACCTAAATGATAACAGGACAAAACCTAGTGTAAAACTTTAGATGATTAAAATAGAATAAAACAAAGTGTGTGTGATTAAAACCGGCAGCAAGATAAAGATCGCTTCAAAATAGCTCAAAGTGACCCTCTCAAATGATTATGAATTGTTGTTTTGTATTATATGTCATCATGATGGGAAATGTCCCAAGAGCTTTGGCTATTGGGTAATACAGAATTGAATTGGTGGCACTGAATGAATGAAAAAATACATTTAAAAACAAAGCTAAAGAAAGAAAAAGCCCGGGAAAGTAAAGAAGCCCTTTATGTGGGTCAGAAAACACGAGAGTGTAAGGACCAAGCAAGGACCTTTGGAGATGGCATTCTGCAATGGTGGTGCCAACGCTTTAACTTTTTTCTTCTTAGTAGCTTTCATCTCTTTTCCATCACCTCATTTTATGGAGACACCTGGAAGAGTGCCCCTGAAAAGTGTCCCTGAAGATATTAAGGCTCTTGGTATCTCTTTATCAGACATCAGGCAAAAAACAATGTTGGTGTAAAATGCTGGGGGTGGAGGAGGGCGAGGTCTCAAACTAGGACCTCCAGAAATGCTTATCTCCTGTGTCACCGGCTTTCTGGATCTCTAGAAGGTCTTAAATATTAGGATTTGGCCTACTTGCCTTCGCCTGACTTCTACCCCAGATTGTGACCCTTGCCAGCTTTTCATCTTGCATTCATTTCTGGGCTACTCCAATCTTCTACTATCAAGCTCAGTTTTTGGCCTACTGCTGACTTCATATTTCAATGGAGGGCAATGTCTTACACTCCCTTTCTTCTGTGTGGCTCACAATGCCCTTTCAACCATTTCTGTATGGAATTATATGCCCTTAGAGTCTTTTGCTCCAGGCTGCAACAAGCTCCTGTACAATTCTGCATGTCTGTTGGGCATATATTGCATTTGTGGTTGTAAACAGGCCATTACTAAAGATTGTAACTCAATGCAGGTTTCCATTTGAACAATACTGCTCATAAGTGTTGTCCTTCTGGTACTCCTGAATGTCCCAAGGACCAAACTGGATGGTAAACTTCAACTGATTAGAGAATTGGCAGGAGAACTAAATGTGATTTGAGAGATGCATCACAGCTGATGGGAACTATACACATGTATTTCCTGCTTTAATTCCTCTTGCCAAAGAAGCATTGTAGGTTTTTGAAATGTTTATTTCAAATTAAATAAATAAATAAATGAAGAGGAGAAGGTTAAGGGAGCTATTCAATACAACTTCCCATAACCTTTCACTTGGAAGGTCATGGATATTCAATGGAGTACGAGAGGAACACAGAAGTGAGAATTGCTTTGGCACTTCTCCCACGCTCCTGGACTTTTCTTACACTCCTGGACAACTAATTCCAGCCATCTACGTTTTTACCACTGCTTCACAGGAGAAAAGCTGAAGCCACCACAGGGACTCCTCATAGGTCACTGATACCTCACTCCTCCCTTTCTTGTCCCAGTACCACCAACACCAGCTCTGAGCTCGGTATTGTGACCTTGGAGCCACAGTCAGTGTGGAAACAACTGTATTGGAGGGATGGCTCTCTGAATTTGAAGTCCCAGGTTCTACCTCAGAGTGTTTATCCAGGGCCAGAGCTGGGACTTCCAATCATCCTATGGCTGTCTGGACAGGGTCTAGTGGTCATAGAACTACTCTATTAAAAAGGGTTAAATGAATTGAGTGTAACTAGCAGCGTAACTATAAGCAGCTGATTGTGATTCCAGGTGCCTTCAACTCTGATAAAAACGAATCTTGCACAAATATTGTTGTTAGCTGCCTTGGGCAGTTTTAAAAGGTAAAGTCAGGGTGTAAATGTCACAAAAATGCAAATATATACATACATAATACTGCACAAACTTTAAAAAAAGTGTGCCATGCTATTGAATTCCCTATGCAAATAATACTGGGAACCATGTGCAACCATCACTTTTGTCCCCATGAATTCTTAATTAGACCATATAATCTCTGTGTTGCTTTTGTTAGTGTTAGTGATAGAAAGCAGGTGTGTGCACCTGTTTCCAAAATACAGAGTAAATATCATTACTCTGAATTCTGCAGACCTGTAGGTTGTGGTTGATTTCTCTGTAACTGCCTATGCCTATGGTGAATTGAGGTCCTCAGCTAGAAAAAATAGTAATTAATCATCTTTTGTCTGCCACTGTAATGGTGACTTCAGTGGGCAACAGTTGTGCTTTTGTCTACTCCACTTTTCTCTTTCTCTCCCTCTCCCTCTTTCTGTGTGTGTGTGTGTGTGTGTGAGAGAGAGAGAGAGAGAGAGAATGAGAGAGAGAGAGAATGAGAGAGAGATACTGTGTGTCTTGCTACCATACTGGGTCTTTTTCTCCACAGATAGAAATAGACATAGGTATATAGAGAGAGGGGGGAAAGAGACAAAGGTGAAGAGGGAGAAGAAGGGGGAGAGGGAAAGGGAAACAGGAGGACAACAATTACACACTTGTTAGCCAGCTGTTACAGAGGTTCCAAACCCCTGTCCTCCAACTAGAACATCAGTTGTGATGAAACGACTAGCATTATGCTAGCACCCAAACTGCAATATTTGTGACTAGGAATGTACAGTTCTCCTCAGGTAGCTTCTTTATTGAGTGCCCATTGTCCTGAAGTTGTGCATCATGAGCTTCTGTTGGCCATTATGAATGTCACTGATGGGAAGCCACATACATTTGCAATTCATGGGCCATTTAGACAACTTTAAAATGTTTTATCTCATTTTTCATTAGTATTAGAAGCATAATATTGTCTATAGTAACTTCCAAAGGGATGTAACTTAAAAACTAAGGAACAAACAAAAAGAAAAGTATATGGGCAGGGATGCCTAGGAAACAGCAGAAAAACTCCTTTATTCTCCCTACATCAATGGACCTGTTTCATTGTTTTGCTCTAGGAAGAAATTTCAAGCTGGTTAGAAGCTGTGCGTCCTTCCTTCTGCCTAAACAAAGGTGTCTCAGTGCCTTGAATTTTCTTCTTTTATAATGCCACTGTGTCAAAGTGCCCAATAAGTAACTTTCTCTACTAAGAGAGCCAAGGGTCAGACTAGATGGCCCAGGAGGCTCCTTCTGACTCACTCTGTTTCTGTGTTTCCTACCTCTGCTGCATCAATACCCTCCTGCCATATCTGTCTCCCTTGCCTCTCCCCTCTCAACACAGCAAGAAAGGAATAAGTGAACTTAGCTGTACATCTCCTGGATTCCTTGCCTTGTAGCAAGAAGTGGAAGTTGGGGATCCATACTCACCCTGTTTCCAGAAACATTATCACTCTCCTTCCTGCCCCATCTGTTCCCTGCAATTTTCCCCTCTAACTGGAGAAGGAACATAGGAAACCTCCTAGTGTGTCTACCTCACTTGAGCGGAAAATTGCAAGGACCAGATGAGATAGGAATGCATTTGTACAAAATCTAATTCCATCAATAAGCAGACCATGGAACAAAAGGTGCCTGACAATCCATGAAATGCAGGCAGAATGGATTTTACAACAATCATACTTCCCTAGGAAAGGCACCTGTCTGAAACCATGGAGAACCCTTGCCTGCCAGTCTTGACAATGCTAGACAGACTAATTAGCTTAGACAGACTAAATGTACTGAGTCTGTCAGATACTTTTTGTCCCTTCACCTGCACATTGACACAATTGGATTTTGTGCACACGAATATGCATTTCTATATATTTAGAGTTCTACAAATTTGCAGCTCTTGAAAATGTGCAGATCCCTTCAAAATGCACTTTTGCACTCAGTCTATGAAGAAATATGCATCTTCATTGGTGTTACATCTTATTTTATGTATTTCCTATGATTATACATGCAAAAGTGTGTGTGTGTGTGTGTTTAATGTAAGTCCACCAAATCATATTGATTCAGGAAAAGCTAGTTCACAGTGGAACTGGACAGCTTGATTCTGAGAAACTGGAACTCATTTGAGTCCATTGTCACTGCAATCCATAATGTTTCCCTCCCATACATGGAGATGTCAGGAGTTGAACCTGGAACCTTCCACATACAAAGCATATGCTCTGCCACTGATCCTTGGCCCCCACAGAAATGTTGAATCAAAGAATAGGTTGCATCATAGTCTCTTTTCGTTCTCCTAAGGGCTTGTACTTTTTTTGTACTTGTGCTCTGTTGGCGGGTGATTCCATACACACCCCTTTTCATTCCCTACACTGGAGGCACGAAGGGGTGCTGTTTTGTCTACCCAGAGTCTGTCCTCCAATTTCCTGGAAGCTTTCTTCCCATTTTTCTGTCTTGTTCTCAGGGTGTTCTGAAATGCATCTTTGTAGTGCTTTTTTTAGCCTACCTAACCACTCTGAGGTGGCAAAGAATGTGATGTTTCTCCCTACACACTCTTTCCATTTCTTTCTAGTCTCCCAAGCTGTCTGTGCTTCTTGAACTAACAAAGCACTGTGGGAGGAATTACTTCATGCTGCCTTTCCCTGTACTTCTTTGGAAACCATGGAAATGGCAGGGTGCTGTACAGATGATTGTACAATATAAAGCAGGTTACTTGTGCACACTTCTTGTTGGGTAAAAGGTCCCCCCTCAAGGCTGGACATGCCCAGTTCTCTTAGCCCCTCCTCATAAGACAGGGTTTCCAAACCCTGGATCACTTTGTTGCCTTCCTCTGGTCCCTTTCTAATTTTTCTGCATCTTTCTTAAATCTTGGTGCCCAGAACTGGACACAGTATTCCAGTGAGGTCTGACTCATGAGAAGTATAGGGGAACTACTACTTCTTGTGAATTGACACCTCCTCCTCATGATTTGTCCTGAGAGAGAAATTCTACTGGCATCAAACTTGAATAATAGGGTACTTGGCACTGGAGCAGTGCATCCAACCTATGCCCCACTGGGCTTTTGCTGCCAAGGCAGGAGGAATGGCAGATGGGATTTTTGTGTCTCTGTTCTCCAATACTGAGTAAGTGGTCCTGTAAGCTCATCTAAGTCATTCTGCCTGGCAGGGCTGGTGAGAGCTAAGATGTCACTGGATTGTATAGAGTCATGTCCACCCACTGGTCTGCCTTCCCTTCATTTCCTCTCTACCAAACTTCACAATTTCAACCTCGGGAGCAGAACCACCACAGACTTTCCTTGGGCACCTGCAAGAGGTGTCTCTGTGTGTGTGTGCACGCACATGTGCATTAGTGTGCACGAGACCTCCAAAGTTGGCCTTACAGAGGGAAATGGACTGCACCCTACGGATCCTCAGACACCCAGAGAATTGCTCTCAAAGTGGTTGAGCGGTCCAGTCTTACCTAAGCTCATCTTATAGGACCCAGCACTGAAAGTTTCCCACTGAGCTGTTAGTGACTATGCAAGGAAATGTCTTCTCAGTGATGGCACTTACAATGCATAACCACTGCCTTGCAGTGGGTGGGGGAACACACTTGATTTCCTCATTAATAGGACTCAGGCAACAGATTACTACACTTTCTGCTTCAAAGAGCATTTCGGTTAATATGCAACAAGGTGCCTCCAAGTCTTTCTTGTATGCTATGTTCCCTTCTTCTTCTTTTTTTTTTACTACTGCTGTTTTTAAGAAGTTGCTGAGTGAAGTGATTGATCATGTTTTAATTGCTTTATCTTTCAACTTTTGCTACCCTGCCTCACAGTTCCTGATGTCAGGGTTTTAAAAGTGTATCTTAAATCACTAGGGGCATGCAAACTTCCCCAAATGAGAGCCTGCCCACTCCTTCAGATTGTCACCCAACATGTGTGACCATAGTTGATTGTTAAATGTGCTGTAAATTGTGTTAACAATCCATGCAGAACAATGGCGATGCTCAGCAAGTCGGACAACAATTTCCATGATGAGAAATTACACACTAAGGTCACTGATATAATAATAAACTTTGAGTTGCAGGTACACATCCTGACAGTCCCTATAGTTATACTTCCATGGAAAGTTAACAACAAAACTTAGGCTGGTGTGTTCATCTGCACCAAAAAGCAGTTTCCATGTTCAACAGCAACAGTTTTGTTTTTGTTTTGTTTGTTTACTTTAAATAATGCTCATTGGCCTTAATTGTCCGTTTCAGCCCAAGTCACCTCAAAATGTTTTACACAGCAGCAGGGAAAACATATAGTTGTTGGGAGAATTGATCATGAGCACTGAAGAAGAAACAGGGAAATGATTGGAAATGAGACCCAGCTTCTTAAAATATAGTGTTCCCTGCTAGATGGAAGAGTTGGGGTTGAAATTGGGGTTGGGGTTGGGATTGGTTGATTGATATCCCTGAACTGTTACAGTTACCAAGCAAGTTTACTCCAACAGCATGTGAGGGCTGAAGCATTTTTAAGAAAGGAGAGAGACACTGGGCAGGTGTGGAAGAGAAGGCAGATTCCTAAGCCCTGTAAAAAGACAGCGGGCTACATAAGCAGACCAATTAAGAAGCATCAGGCATTCCAGTTGTCTAGCCCTCCAGTTAGAAGTGAATGATGTTTCATAATGGGGACTGCTCCAGTGATGGAATGGGTGGGAATGAAGAAAATCATTAGGAGCAGGAGCATTTTGAGTGGGTGGAAGATGACATCAGCACATCCACCAATTAAAAGGTGCTCTGCATACCCTGACTCCACTACGCCTTTGTGTACAATACTTCTTCAGCCTACTTCTTCAACACTTCCTGGAAACCTCTGCAACAAGCAGGTGTTCCATGGTTGACATACAATCTTTCTGCAACAGATGGGTATAGCCCAAGGTATTTCCACTGGGGGGCATATAAAACTATAAGATATAATTTAAAAGGATGCCGTTGTATCAACTGTGTTTTTGCTGCTTAGCAGTCCCTGAACTTGGAGTCTTCTGAGTGCCCCACACCTTACTGAGCTGAAATTAGCAGGTTGGGAGAACAGCAGTGGTCATCTTCACTTCCTCATCTTCCATCTTTCTTGGCACTTGCTAGACTTTTCAATGTCTCTAATGAGGGCTCTTTGGAAGGGGAGGGAAGCTGTCTAGAGGCAGCTCACATTATCTTGAATCTGGACCTCTATAGTCTCCTCCCTTCTCCAACCATGAAAATACCCCTTTCCTCCTCCAAGCAACTTTCCATGCTGGTTGCAAGAAGGATGGATATCCAACTCCCTCTTCTGAGGCTGAAGCACTGTTTCTGATCCCAGAGGGGTTTTCCAAACCACTGTATGGGCCCTGGGACCCTTGTCTAGAAACCAGGGATTGCTCTCTAAATAGACAAAACGATGTTATTTATCTAGACATGTTGAAAACCACTGCCTCAATCTATTGTTTCATGTTATGATATTAAGTTTAGAGTAGTGGAGTACTTGAACAAGTACAAAAGTTGAGTGCAGTTCATTTACAGTAAAAACAAAAGGAAGAAAAGTTAACTTACAGGACTTTGTTATTGCTAATCCTTATCAAACTGATGCCAAATGGATTCTCAGTGATGTTAACCATATAGTTTAATTTGGCTGGTTTAGGTCCATCAAAGTTTTTTTTAACATACTGATGTGGGACTTCATATCTATCTTGATTAGCAGGATCTGTAATCTGTAATAATAAAACAATTTAAACAGAATTAATTGTTAAAGTTAGAAGTTAAATTTACTTCTACTTATTAGATTTTACCAGCTTTCCTTCATCATCACAATGAATTCTGAATTAGTTTTAATTTTGTTTATATTCATGTTTAATGAATATAATTAATTATGTTAGACTGCTGTACAGTTGCAAACTGGATTCATTAGCCAACCTGCTGCAGCTGTAGTTAATGAATTCAAGCAATTTCTTCTGATTTAGTGAGCATTCTCCAGAATCATTCATTGAAGCTTATTTTTATCAATTTCACCCCGTTCTATTATCATAAAATAAAAGGAAATATCTCCCCATCCAATGCTTCTGTTTGAAAATGTCTGAATATAGTATGATTTAATTTGTCTGTGGTGACATTGAACAAAATCAGAGATTTTCATTCAAAGCACTTTGTACTCACACCTTTAGAGCACTGACATGCAGCTAAGAAGCTGCAAAATGTTATGTATGCAACTACAGTTACATACTGTTACATATATACATACAGTTTGGATGTTAAGAGAACATCATAGCACAAAAGTATTCTGGGCAGGAGATCTTTTTAGTGAAATATACCCTAAGCTTCTAAACAGTCCCTGAATAAGGATGGAAGATCTTTCAGTCTTGCTTCCCTCAATTTCTCATTTTTCTATAGCTATGCTGGGTTAATCTTGAATGTTGAACGTTTCACAAAGTTCAGTTTGTCCTGAACTTTGTTTTATTTGTTTTTTTGTTAAGTATTGTGGTGGACACTCCTTTCTTCCTCACAGCTCATCAAATTTGAAAGAATCTCTCTAATCATTTTGGTGTTATTTTATCCTATTACTTACTTCTCCCCACAAGGAGTTGTCCCACATGCCCACGCACAAGCACGCACACACACACACACACACACACACACACACACACAGAATTCCACTGCAAAATTTGGAGAGGCACACATTGAGTTTCTGCTCAATTAGCAGAATCCAATGGCTGTCCATACAGAATTTATATGGCCATGGGAAAGGACAACGTTCCATCTCCAGCCTCAGAAACATTCAGAGTTCAGAGCTGGGACTGCAGTATTAGAGTACCCTTCCTCTACCCTTGAGCTGTCATGGAAAGAACTGCACTAGCTGCATCTCTAAGTCAGTGACTGATCCAAGATCAAGACTGATCTTGGAGCTGGAGGATTCTGAGGAAGGGGTGGGAAGGGAAGAGGAAAGCTCTGCCATGATCCCTCAGCCTGTTCTTCTCAGGCTGGAGCAGAAGACTTGGTTATTTAGAATTGGCTGTCTAACATTTTTCAGAGCAGGGAGGAATGCAGGTGACCTCCATCTCCTGTTCTATCCTTGACTGGACGTCCATAATTCTCCAAGTTGGAGTGTTGCAGGCAATTGGATTGTGTTGTCCATGATCTGAGATTGCAAAATTATATAAGTCCATATGACAATATGAACTGAGCTATTTCTTCCCCATCCCTTTCCCTGAATTCAGCATATATGAACCTGATCTAGATGCAAACTAGTGGTACATTTTCTTTTTGCTGCTAGCTATATCCTTAAAGTCCGCAAGCTACATTTAAGCTATCCTTCAGGAACCGTAGAGGAAAACAAAATGACTCTTTTGCTTGTGAAACTGATTTTTTCTGCAGCAGTCACTAAATCTGGAAAATATATTATGAAACAGTTTCATATTATGAAACTGAGAGAATGGTATGTATCATTCACTTAGGAGATACACACTTTTCATTTGGAATAACCTAGAAATGAACTGGGACCCAATTGTTTTTATTTATTTATTTATTTATTTATTAAAACATTTTTATGCCGCCCCATTCGCCGAAGCCTCGGGGCGGCTTACAACATAGATAAAACAAGTTAAAATCCATATAAAATAATCTTAATTAAAACTCACATTATAAAATAAGCCGCCCTGGCCAGATAAAATTCAATTGTATTTAGCATTTAAAATGTTGCTTAAATAAAAAGGTCTTAGCCTGGCGCCGAAAAACAAATAACGACGGCGCCAGGCGGACCTCTCTGGGGAGCGCATTCCATAACTTAGGCGCCACCGCTGAGAAAGCCCTTCTCCGAGTAACCACCCTCCTAATTTCTCTCACGGAGGGCTCCCGGAGAAGGGCCTCTCCCGCCGATCTCAGGGGGCGACTGGGCAAATATGGATGTAAGCGCTCCTTCAGGTAACCAGGACCCAAGCCGTTTAGGGCTTTATAGGTCATTACCAACACCTTGAATTGGGCCCGAACTTCAATGGGGAGCCAGTGAAGCTGACGGAGAACTGGCGTCATGTGAACATAACATCCAGTCCCCGTCAGCAGCCTGGCAGCTCTATTCTGAACCAATTGAAGTATCCGGACCGTCTTCAAGGGTAGCCCCACGTAGAGCGCGTTACAGAAGTCAAGACGGGAAGTCACCAGCGCATGAGTCACTGTTGCAAGGCAGTCGTACTCCAGGTAGGGGTGCAGCTGATGAATCAGCCGAAGCTGGAGGAAAGCGCTCCTCGCCGCTGCTGTCACCTGAGCTTCAAGTGAAAGCTCCGGGTCGAGGAGCACTCCCAAGCTGCGGACCTTGTCCCTAGGAGGGAGTGCAACCCCATTCAGGACAAGGTTCAGGTCACCTTCTCCGAAGCCCGAACCGCCAACCAACAGGACCTCCGTCTTGTCTGGATTGAGCTTCAGTTTATTGGCCCTCATCCAGCCCATTACCTCGGCCAGGCACCGGTTCAGTACAGCCACTGCCTCACCTGGATTGGTGGAAAACGAGAGGTAGAGCTGGGTATCATCAGCATACTGATGGGTCCGCAGCCCACACCTCCTGATGACCTCTCCCAGCGGTTTCATGTAGATATTGAACAGTAAAGGGGACAAAATGGAACCCTGCGGTACCCCATGGCAAAGCTGCCATGGCGCAGAGCCATAGTCCCCCAACACCACCTTCTGGAATCGGTCGTTGAGATAGGAGCGGAACCACCGCAAAGCGGTGCCTCCGACCCCCAATCCCGCCAGCCTATCCAGAAGGATACCATGGTCGATGGTATCGAAAGCCGCTGAGAGGTCCAGGAGAACCAACAGGGACGCACTCCCCCTGTCCTTCTCCCTGCACAGGTCATCGTACAGGGCGACCAAGGCAGATTCAGTACCGTACCCGGGTCTGAAGCTGGACTGAAATGGGTCCAGATAATCAGTTTCATCCAAGAGTGCTTGGAGTTGTCCCGCCACCACTCGCTCTAACACCTTGCCCAGAAACGGGATGTTGGCCACTGGTCTATAGTTAGCGGCCATCCCTGGATCCAGTGACGCCTTCTTCAGGACCGGTCGGACTACCGCCTCCTTTAAAGGGGCAGGCACCCGACCCTCCCTCAGAGAAGCGTTAACCACTTCCAAGATCCAGGTTCCAATCCCGTGCTTGGAATCCTTTATTAACCAAGACGGGCAAGGGTCCAGAAGGCAAGTGGTAGGACGTACTCGTCCAAGCACCTTGTCCACATCATCGGGCCGCAATAACTGAAATTCATCCAATAATTCTGGACCAGACGGCAGCGTTGGTGTCTCCCTTAAAACCTCTGAATCAATAGTGGAATCCAGCTCGTGACGAATCTGAGCGATTTTCTCCCTAAAATGCTCGGCAAAGTCGTCACAGCGGGCCTTTGAGGGTGGAATCAGCTCTTCCTTTGGCCCTGGGTGAACCAGGCCTTGCACCACTCGAAAGAGCTCCGCCGGACGGCATTGTGAGGAGGCAATGGAAGCGGAGAAGTGTCTCTTTTTCGCCGCCCTCACCGCCACAGCATAGGCCCGATAGTGGGCTCTTAAGTGTGTTCGGTCAGATTCATCACGTGATTTCCTCCACCTACGCTCTAGCCGTCTCCCAACCTGCTTCATTGCCCTCAATTCTGGAGTGTACCAAGGGGAAGAGCGGGCTCTGCCCGGTGGGAGAGGACGCTTAGGAGCGATCGTGTCTACAGCCCTGGTCATCTCCCCATTCCACAGTTCAACCAGAGCCTCGACAGGAGCACCCGTCTTGTCAGCCGGAAACTCCCCCAGAGCCTTCAGGAATCCTTCCGGATCCATCCGGCTCCGGGGGCGGACCCACACAATCGGGTCTGCACCCTTACAGAGGGAGATGTCGCTCTCGAGCACAAACCTCACTAGGAAGTGATCTGACCATGACAGGGGAGTCAAGCATAAATTCCTCACCCTCAGACCACCCTCTTCCTGCCCCGTCGAGAAAACCAGGTCCAGAGTGTGTCCACGTTCATGGGTCGGGCCGGTGACATGTTGAGACAGCCCCATGGCCGTCATGGAAGCCATGAAGTCCTGAGCCGCCCCGGTCAAACTAGCCTCGGCATGGATATTGAAGTCCCCCAGGACCAGCATCCTGGGGGTCCTCAACACCAGGTCCGAGACCGTTTCCGTCAGCTCAGGCAGGGAGACTGTTGGGCAGAAGGGTGCACGGTACACCAACAGAATCCCCAATCTGTCTCGGTCGCCCAACACCAAGTAGAGACACTCCAGCCCTGGTCTCGAAGGGACAGGAAGTCCCGTGAGAGTGATGGAGGCCCGGTAAACCAAAGCGACCCCCCCTCCCCTCCCCTCCGGCCGTGAACAGTGCTGGACCATATACCCGGGCGGGCACAATTGAGAGAGGGCAACATCCCCCCCCTCTCCCGCCCAGGTCTCCGTTATACAGGCCAGGTCGGCCCCCTCATCCACAATCAAGTCATGGATGAGGGCAGATTTGTTATTGGCCGACCTGGCATTAAACAACAGCACCGTCAGGCCCGAGGGGCGACTGACAAGACTCCCTGGCACCTTCTGGCTGGGAGCAAAACCAGAAGTAGGGACAGGTGTCAGCCATCTGTCCCTCCTTCTTCTATGTTGTTGTTGTTGTTACTATTAAAATTATATACAGTTTTCACAAAAGTATCAAAGCTGTGAACAGAAACTACAATGGCATAAAAATCATAGCTATAACAATAAAAACAATACAGTGCAAAGTAATCAGCAATAAAACCACAACACTGAATGGTGTGCTGCAAACCACAGCCATCTGGGTCACCCAGAAAGTCTTCACAAAGAGTTTCAGGAATAGATCTATGTGCCAGAACTGTGGGGACCAGTCTAATCTCAAGTGGTATTGCTTCCAGAGAGTAGATGCTGCAACATTAAGCACTCTATTACCAGTGCTCCTGAGTAGAACCTCATGAGCATGTTGCACCATCAGAAGCACCCCTTAATATAATTGCACAAATCAGACAGGAATATAAGGGGTGAAGAATAAGGGGTGAAGGTGACCCAGTCCCTTGTTTAAGACTTTATATGGTAAAATACATGATACATACTATACAGCCCAAGCATGTATGACAGGACCAACTTATTAATTGTTTTGGTTTGTTACTACATATATAGATGGAGGTAGTGCTGGTGGTAGGAGCCTCCTAGGCCAGGCGGGAACCCAGGTCTTAACCCACCAACTGAAGAGCATTGCTTTAAAAAAGACTCTCACCTTGAACCTGAAGCGGTTTGGCGTCTGATATTCAGCAGTGAAGAGAACCTTTTGGATGTCATTTCCAAACAAGGATGGTGCGGGGAGTCTTGTTAGCGTAGCTTGAAATCCTTAATAAGAAAAAGTGATAAACATAAGAGTGTTGCCAACTGCAGTCTAATATTCCCAACCCAGAGAGAAAAGTGTGGGAAGGTGAAGTTAGGCAAGAAAATTTGTTGGTAGACTACTTTTGATGTTCCTGGTATCTAGCCAAGAACCAGCTGCTAATCATGATTACAGCATATTTAAATAAAATGCATTATTATTTTGATTTTAGTTTCACCACAACAATCCTGTGAGGAAACTATATGTGCCCATACAATGAACTACAGAGCAAAATGAGTCTTTTACCCTCATCTATATCATGCATATCTAAGAAAGGATAGATTCGTCATCTTGGTTTTTCCAAAATTGTCTCTTTTTTTTCTTTTTCTTTTTTGAGGTCAACCTCATTCTTCCTATTTTGCACGAATTTGAAATTTCCTGTTGAAAAAGCTCCATATAAAATCCATCATTTTTTGCTCTTTTCCCTAATGTTTATGTGGCCTTTTCATGCTGCAATGTACTTTTATGCACACTCTTCACTAAAATGCACATTTTTCCTGAGATGGTCTACACTGGAAAGCTCACCCCCCACCCCACCCAAAGGGAGGATTTCAGAACTATCATCACTTACACTATTGGGCAGTATAAGAATGAAACAAACAAACTTTTCTGCCTTGGCTTTCTGAGGTGTGACTTGACCAAATCCAATTTAGAAAAGTCAGTGGAGCAATTCACCTATCCCTATGCGTTCCTAACACTTAGCAGATTCTACTGTTTAGAAGGGACAGTATCATTGCTGCAATACAGCTCTCTTGTGTTTACCTGTGTTTGTGTCTTCACGGCTTCCTTTAACTTTGTATCCATGACTTGTAGAAAAGTAGCACCAGGGTATGTATGTCTCATTCTGAGGATTCCAGCAGCATCCACGAAGTGTGCATAGGGCCTGTAGTACCAACAGGAACAGAAAAAGCTTTAATAGCTGCAGCATTCTCTACATTCATTTCTGAATGATTGCATGTGTCTCACAAGGCAAACAATATGCTTTGTAGTCAACCATAATTGGTTTTTCCCATGGATTTTCCCAGCAGGTGCATGCTGTCCTTGTTCTGGAAATCTCGTCTCATGCTTGTAGCTTGTTGCTTCGGATTTAAAATACGTTTTCTAAATAAAAGTGGTGAACTTAATTTTCCTCAAAGACTGAAGTGGAACAGATCCCCCATCCACACACAAACCGTCAATCCAGATAAGACAGAGGTCCTGTTGGTAGGTGATTCAAGTTTCCGGGTAAGTGACTTGGGCCCTGCCCTGGATGGGGTTGCACTCCCTCTAAAGGACAGGGTCCACAGTTTAGGAGTGCTCCTTGACCCGGAGCTGTCCCTGGAATCCCAGGTGATGGTGGTGGCGAGGAGTGCTTTTCTTCAGCTTCAGCTGACCCATCAGCTGCATCCTTACCTGGAGGAGAACTGCCTAGCAACAGTGACACATGCACTAGTTACTTCCTGCTTGGATTACTGTAACGCACTCTATGTGGGGCTGCCCTTGAAGACAGTCCAGATACTTCAGATGGTGCAAAACAGAGCTGCCAGGATGCTGTCAGGGACTGGTCGTTATTCTCACATAACTCCAGTCCTCTATCAGCTCCATTGGCTTCCCATTGAAGTCCGGGCTCAATTCAAGGTGCTGGTTTTTACCTATAAAGCCCTAAATGGCTTGGGACCAGGATACCTAAAGGAACACCTTTTTCCCTACATGCCCTCTCACCTCCTAAGATCAGCAGCAGAGGCCCTCCGCTGGGAACCCTCTTTAAAAGAGGTCAGGAGACAGAGTACTCGGAGGAGAGCTTTCTTTGTGGTGGCACCCCAACTATGGAATGCGCTCCCTAGAGACATCCGCCTGGCACCGTCATTATATGTTTTTCAGAACCAGGTCAAGACCTTTTTATTTGACCAATTTTTTAACATAAAGTAATTTTAATCGTATTAGATTTAATTTATTTTAAATAGATTAGTTTTATGCTCAGTTGTGGAATAGTTAATTTATTTTATTTAGGATTTGAAATAATGTGGCAAGCCATCCAGAGATGACAGGGATGAATGGCCTACAAATTTTCTAAATAAATAAATAAGTGTAACAAAGTGCCAACGTAATCAGAGAGAATACGACCCATGTGATCAATCCCAGTCAAACAGCAGAGAGGATGCTCATAATGTACACAGAAACATGGTAACACACTGTGGGAAGTGGTTCCCATGGCACTGGATGAAAGTGGGGTATGGAATACCTCAAACAGCAATTACTAACTAGCACAAGAAGGTTGGTTCTCATGTTAGTTTCTTTAAATGCTACTTTGCTATGATAAAATCAAATATAATGTTATTGACATGAAAAATACACTTAGAAATAAAATCAACATTTGTAAAAGCATGTAAGAAAGGCAAACTTCAAAAAACTCATAATAAAAGTTTGTTGGGGAAAAAAAAACCCCATAAGGCACCACTGAGAGGGAAAAAAAATAGACATAAAAGCCAGTTTAGAAGGATGCAAAAAGGCAACCCCGTGAACTTCTCTTGGGAGACTATTAAGGATTGCTGCTTACAAAGACTAATGCAAACCAAAATGCTGAAAGCCTCAGGTCTCATGTTTGCAAACACGCAGACAAGCATTACAGCCACCTTTCCCACCATAAAAGTTCAGCCATTTGTTTATCCAGCTAATTCGTTTGGAAGAATAGAAATTATTAATGTATTTTCCTGTGACTTTCAAATGCCTTTCCCAGAGCCTAATCCTTACACGTACTGATGCCAATGCATTCAAAATTAGGTGGCTTGTAAGTCAAATCCGCTATGCTTGCAATGTTCATGTGTGTAATGAACTCTCCAACAAACCTTTGTTATTCAAATTGGTATTGATTACAAGGGACCCGCTTGGTTACTAGCACCTGCACAACTTTTTTTCCAGTAATTTTCCCCAGAAAGAAGCTATCCCAAAGTTGTTGCTACTTTGGAAAGCCTTCTTTGGTGCTCATAGCAGCACATACTCTTCAGCTATAATATTTTGGTGTGAAGAGCCCTTGCAACCCTGCCAGGACACAGCCCATGAAGTAGTCACATAAGTATTCCAGAAAGTGCTTCCAGGATGAAACACTATCTTTGAAACCAGCCAGACTTGGCAGTGTGTGCACATGAAGTTTCAAGGAAACATAGAAACAGAGCGAGTCAGAAGGGACCTCCCGGGCCATCTAGTCTGACCCCCGGCTCCAGCTGGTTCCACTAACGACATGCCCACCATGTGCATGTCCAGCCTATCTTTGAACACCCTCACTGATGGGGCCTCAACCACCTCCCACGGAAGCCCATTCCGCACCCTCGGGGTCCTGACTGTCAGGAAGTGCTTCCTGGCATCTAAATGGAAACTTGGTTCCCTGAGCTTTGCTCCGTTGGAGTGCATCCTGCCTTCCTCTGCAGGGGAGTACAGGAAAAGGTGGTTCGAAGGAAGGAAGTGCAGTGAGATTAGGTAGAAGACTGCAGAACCTGGGGAGAATGTTATGAGTTCTGTTAGGGCACATTTGCCCATCACTAGCTACACAGTGTTAATTTGAGATGCATTTTAAGGGATTTGAGGTGTATTTTAAACTCAGAACTGAGGCCACATGATTAGCATGTCATGGGTGTGTCAGATGATCTACCCGACTGATTCACATTTTTTCTCCTTCAATGTAATGGAGCTGCACTTCCTCCTGTTGTGTGACAAAAATAAATCTGCCTCCAATGGATCTTGTGTCCCCCTCTCAGCTACTTAGAAAGTGTGAGTGCAGAGGGTCGGGGGTTGCTCATGTTGCTGCTGATTTTTTCCCTATATTGCTCCCAAAACAGAGCACAGCATTTAATGACAACAACAACAACAAGGGCAACATGCCTTGCAACCTCTTATTAACATCCGTTTATTATGGCTGGAGTCTGCAGCAATGAATGCTATATGAGCAAATCCACTCTAAAGACACAAACAAATATAGACTTCAACCTGTACAGGAAATAGTTCTATGAATTGGGAATGGCAGCAAATGAAATGTTATCTTGAAATGCTTTTGGGAGGAAGCTATACTGATTTTTTTCTTTGTATTTTGTATTTTCCAGCTGCAATATAGATCACATAAAGAAGACTTTCCCAAAAATGCTTTCTGACCTGTGCAACCATGTATCACGATGTGCTGTGAAAAGAACTTTTGTTTGTTTTCTCACCAGTCAACTTCATTAAATACTTGCAGATTCCAATATTATGTAAAAGGGGAAGACACAGACCAGCACATCTATCTACCTGCTTTCTTGGTACCATAAATACTTTTATGCATCCTTAATGTATCCCTGCTTATTTTGTAATATTCTGTAATTGTGCCCATTTGTGATGGCAGGATTTTGTGGCTGCTAAATACTAAGAGCCAAAGGAAAGTTGGAATTTCAGCTCTAGCCCCAGAAACATGAGAACTTAGACCTCCCTCCCTCTACCCCTTCCAGCATGGGAAGCTCTTCCCATATCAGCTCTGGCTCCAAGAATGGAAAACCTGCCTCAGAGCTGGCTTTGGACAAACCTCATTCAATAGGTCAGAGAGAAGATGAGTGAATCTCTACCAGGGTATGATGTGTCCTGATGGGGCCTCTTCACAATGTCTTCTCACAAGCTGAAATCAGCTAAGTATTTTTTCAGGGTGGGAGTAGAATGGAGAAAACCTTCATCTCTGCATGCCTTCCATACTCACTCAGAGGGTGGCAATCTTCTAAATTTGGGGGATTACAGACACTACATTGGATTTTGCCCTACAGTCAATTGTCCTATTTTCCCTCAAATAAATTCAATAAGAAATTGCTGTAGAACCCTTATATGCCACAATGTCTCATTATCACATCGTCTAGACTTAGCAATTGACAAACCTGTCAAGTTTGATTCTGCTGCACTGCCATTGTTTCCAGCATTCTCTTGTTTCATTCCATTTCTTCTTTCATTTATTTTTCCCCTTAAAGTCCACATGAATGTGCACATGTATAACCATGTTCATTTCTCAAAGTATACACATTCTGTATACACTTTTCCTAGCACATGCATCTTTGCAAGTAATTGTCCCTAATATAATGTATAATATAATACATGTACCACCTAATGCACAGAATTTGTGTATGCACATCTCCATAATGTTCATCAAAATATAAACTGAACAGAATAAATTTCTCACCCACTCAGAAGAAATTTCATTCTACTGGTTCCTAGAACTCTTCATACTGGGACATTGCTATGTCTGTACTGGTGTGGCCCTGGACTCCTATCTTATGGGGTCTTACTTATCTGGCACCTGACTTCATTCTTAATCTCTCATTCACTGCTACTATGATGGCTGGAGGTTGAAGTAAGGAACCCGAAGCTGGAATTAACCACAGCAAACTTCTTTATCTGCTGATCAGCTGTGAATCTGCTGGGTTGGCTGTGGTGAGAGGAGAGGGAATCCTGGGGGAAAAGCAGCTGATTGGTTGTGCAATGGGAAGAGCGAAAGGAGAGAGAGGCAGGGTCATGCATGTGTACAGATTATAGGCTGTGATTCTACCTGGTACTGGAATCATGAAATGAATAGTTAGATGGACTGATTTAGCTTGCCTTTGCAAAGCTTAAATTCTTTTAACTATTCATCTGCATATATACAAATAAATTAGCCTGCATAAATTTAATGAAAAAAGTTGTGTTAGGGTCCCAGCCTTTGATCTTTTGAGTACTTTGTAATAGCCCTGCTTGATACTTTCAGGAAACCAATTTATTGCTTTGGATTAATTCTGAAATAGACTTCAGCAAGGCCATTTATCAGGCAGTGAAAATGAAATGATCAAACACTCCAGGAAGGTTAAAATTTAAGCTGTAGTATACAGATTCAGTTGTTATTTATTTATTTTTATTTAGTAAGCT